AAACACAACTGATGATAAGTTGTCAACAGAATCAAAGAATGGCTCCGACAGTAAAAGCCAAAAATTAGAAACTGTTTCAGAGTCGAATTCTGGAAAACTTGAACCTATAGTCAGATCTATACCACCTTCTGGAAAAGAAAGACATTCGGGAGATCATTCTAGAAAGGTGTATAGAATAAGTTCTCCAAATTCAATTCAACCGATTAGAAAACAGTTCAAATCTGTTCCAAGTGTCGCTGTTGTAAAAAATGTTGTGTCCTCTTATTACAACTCATCTCCAGAGAAGGTCACTATCAATGAAAAAGGTCAGAAATATTTCAAACCGACTAAAATTGAATTAAATACTTCGATTGTAAGACCTGCGTCGGAAAAGGATGTAGAACTAGTATATATAGATAGCAGTGATTCGGAAGTGTTTTCCGCTGTAAGCAACTTATCACTGTCCAACAGGACATCGCTTTCTGTCGACAAAGAAGAATTAGAAATCATTGAAGAGGACAGTGTCGACCAGGTCAAAGAGAATGTAACCGTTTCTGATGAAAAATCAGACAGTGCTATTATTAAAGAAGTCATGTCAGATCTTCAACAGACAGCTGAAGAAATATCTAACATTAAGTTACAACCTACGGTAAAGTCGTATAAAAAGGAAAGAAGGGCATTGCCGACGATAAAAACTAACGAAACTAAAACACTATATAATATATCTCATCTTGTTTCTCCAAAACTCCCCAAAAAGAAGATGAGTTTCAATACCCAGTCTGAATTTAAAAGGAGATTTTCTTACCCGTTTTCTGGTTTTGATGTTAGTAAAGTATCCGATAACTTACAAAATGTATTGTCCAATGTTGTAAATGAAGCGACTTCTCTATGTTCTGATAAATCATACAGAAAAAAAATATCAAAAGAAGAAAAATCACATGTAGCTCCAAATAATGCAACTGAGCCGTCTCATAGTTTGGAAATTACCTCTTATGATTCCTCTCAAACTCTGCACAATGCTGCTTCACAAACTGATCTTGTTTTCAAGCCATCGACTAGTTTTGAATGGCTTAATGCGTCAAATGAAGAAGTTGGAAAAAGTTCTGAAAGTATATATTATGATTTTTCTGAAGGTTCGGTTTCTACGGAATCTTACTACCTGCCGGATATTACACAGGAGAAAGAACCTAGGGAGTATCGGAATGAGAATATTTTTGGTATTAGAGCATCGAGTCCCAAATTTTCTTCAAAAAGTCCTGTAGAAGCTTCTGAAATATTTGACCTTCACAAAAAGTTTATAAACCGTAGAGGATATCATGAAGCCAATCCAGGTTTAAATAAAGTTCAAGCATCGGCTGAACCTGACCTTATCGCCCTGAGCAAGTGCAAAGATAAGAGCACTTCTTCTTATACTCCAGAGCTCTTGGCTCAAGCTGCTAACCTTTTGGCCCTCCAGAGGTACCACGAAAGTCGGCAAAAAAAAATGTCACAGGCTCAGACCCTTGAGTCTGGGAAGAAGGAAGTACCAAACACTAAAAAACAAGTACCGGAATTAAAAAATGTCGAAGTCTCTTCAGAAATTAAAATTCCTTCAAACGAAAACTCTAAAAAAGAAAATGATGTAGAATCACCCAAAGAAAATAATAGTGACAATGGCGAATTTATTAAGTTTGAGATAAAAACATCTAATTTAGATGAAAATGAAACAGTTGGCAAATCAAGGCTCTTGGAACTTTTCCAAAAACTAGACTCTGAAAGTTCAAACAGTGAGTGCAACATGCCCGAACCATGCACTCATCAGGTTATATTAGGCAATCATTGTGCGTCCGATGCGGTCGTCCAAGTTGATTCTTCTGTACTGGAAAAAAAGGATTCTCTCACTACAGAAGATACGAACAAAGATAAAATAATAATTAATTGTAAGCAAGAAGAGGAAGTGATTGAAATTCCATCGAGATTATCAACTTCTGAAATTGATTCTAAAGATGTAATCTCATCCAATCAAGAAAAGGAAGCATTCGAAGAAACCAAATTTCCAACCGATTCAGAAATAATTGAAGTTACCGATAATACAATCACAACTAAAACTGCTACTTCCAAATCTCTACCACCAGGGGAACTACAAAACCGTAAAATGTACGAAGAGTATATGGGTAAAATTGCTGAATTAACCGAGAGGCGTAATTTAAAAGTTATTAAGTTATCTAGTAGACCTAACTCTGTCTCAGTTGCCAGTGATACCCAACAGTTGGAGTCCGAGTTCATGAACAAACTAAAACAGAGGAATGAGAAACTTGGTATTGTAATCGAGGATAACGATATCAACGAGGAAGACCCAGTAGAGCAAAATTCAGAAGCGCACGACCTCCCAAAGCATTTGAAAGAGCTCATGGAGATAACAGAAGAATGCGGTGGTGAGTTAACGAATGTCTATAGGTGTTGCATTTTATGTTTGTTCATTAACTCAGTTTTCAGAGTTTTATAACAACTCATATTTTACTGTTTTCAAGAAATTAAAACTGTTAATATGTATTTTATTTTTTTAAAAATTTAAAATGCTACTTTTTCAGCGATATGTCGATAACATTTGTTTAATTAATGATTTCTTCTTCTTAAAACTGCCAACATCTTAATACAAAAAAAATGCATGAATTTTGATGTATAAATAATTTATACTGTTAGTAAATAATTAAGTGTGTTTTAACTACAAGCATAAAAAGGAGTGTTAAAAATAATGGCTACACGTTTTTATTCAAGTAATATTAAAAATATTTTATGCATGTTTTTGCCTACACCCAGTTTTAATTTAGTGTATTTATTACTAATTTGCTATATATTTGCTAAAGGTTCATATGGTTTGTTAATTTTTGCACTGCATAGCTGTAAAATGCTTTACTGCACTTTTTAGATATTGTGGGAAAAGATGGGCTTTTGGTAGAGATTGATGAAGCGCTTAGTCCAGAAAGGAAAGGCTTTTTAACTGCTAAAGGTATGCTTTGTGTTCAAACGGATAAATCTTTTAACAGTTTTGTTTTAAAATTATAATATGCATTAGTATGGAAATATGCTATTTATTTATATGTGTGTGTGTGTTTTTACTTATAATTTTAAATCATTAGATTTAATAATGACTAAGTCAGATATATTTTATATTTTAAAATATAATTTATATAATTTATAATATAATTATATTATAAATTATATAAATATATATACACACATATATATATATATATATATATATATATATATATATATATATATAATTTCTTTCATTATCTACTATAATTTTTAAAAGTAATTAAAAAATAATAGAGCGGAATAGGTTAGTGCCTAAGGCAGATCTATTTCATGGGCCCGGGTTTGAGTCCCGCCTCTGGCAGATATTATTTATTTTATTACATCAGCTGAGAATCAACTCTGGGGTCCCGAAACCCTTCTGGGTCACACTCGGCTTTTATAAAGTGAATACCTTGGTTGTGCATGATATCCTGTGGCCTAAAAAATGTACTTCCTAACGAAGTGCTGAACCCAGAACTATAGTAGTACATGTTTTTTGAATTTATTTAAATTATTTTTTTCTATTTATTTTTTAATCACCTCTATCTTGAGGGTCATTGTCATTTCCTGAGTTTTTAAACCGTGTTGTAAACCTTGATTCTCATAAGAAATTACATTTTTTTTAAATTAAATATTAAAAGAAAGTAAATATTATACATTATAAACTAGGTACATTTTAAAATTTTCATGTACCTTAAACAAAATAATCTGTAAGGTATATTGAACATGCCATATTCAAATAAGTTCGTGCATACTCTCAACTGTATATGTATTAAAAATAAAATAAATTTCATGAAAACTGAGGGAGGGGAGGAGTTATTTAAAAACATCCATGATTTATGAACCACATGCACTGATAGTAACATAAATAAAAAAATATATTATGATTTAAAATTAGGAACTTAAAATTCATATTATAATATTTATTATTTATTATACTGCTGTAAATTTATAAAATATTATTTTTTGTTTCTAAAAGTGATTACGAACAATTATTATTCTTTGTTATTTTGAGGATTTAAATAATAATTGCTGTGTTCTATTTCTAATAAATTCAGTGTGTATTATCTGGACTTGCATTTGAGCTATAATTTGTTTTTTAATTTTTGATTAAAATAATTAATATTTTAATATGCATTAATTTGGAAATTTTCTAATATTTATTTATACATGTTTTTGTTTATTTATAACTTTTTAATTAATGTTGGTTATATATTTTCTTTGAAGGTAGAAAAATAAGATCTTGTAATATAATTATAAATTTATTAGTTAATATTTTGAGGATGTATTTCCATTATCAAAACTTTCTCAATATCACAGTTTAATAGCATTACGGGAATATGATAGTGCACATCCTTACATAATATCAAAATACTAAAATTAATGAAATTTTCTTTTTTCAAAACTTGTACTAAAATTTTTTTAAATTTATTTATTTATTTGAACAAGTAAATCTCTTGATGTAATTTTATTTGTTTTGTTATTTTGACATTATATAAAGACGTATAATATTATATCTTTGTGATATTCAGCAAAATTTGACATCTGATGTACCAAAATATTAACTAATAAATATATATATTTATATTGAAAAATTTTATTTTTATCATCTTCAATAATTATTTTAGGCCTCAGAAAATAAGAAAAATATATACATATTATTTATATAATTAATTATTTTATTTATAAAATAATATTATATATAAATATTTTTTTTTAAATTATTTATATGTATTAAAAATCATCTTGTGTGTGGACTATTTGTTTAATATGTACCAATAATAGTTTCTATATTTATCCTAAGTGTTATATTATGTTATTGTTAACACCGAACGTAAGGAACGGAACCTTTCTCTGTTTTGTTACATAACTGTTTAAGAAAGTGGTTCACAAAACTGCACAAGAGGCTGCCAGGAGGTCTGCCTTATTTCTATAAAAAGCACGGTTTGGTTCAGTCGGTTGCCAAACCCTATCCAATACACACGCTCGTTTCTCTCTCTCTCTGTCTCTTCCTAATTTCCTAGTGAACCCAAACATTATAAAATCCATTAATTAATTCATTAATTTGGGATATGCGGCAAAACAAAATTATATCATCGTACTTCACGATTGCGAACATCTCAATTTATTTTTCATTACTTATTCTAGTGCTGAGTGTTTTGTGATCGATATTGTTTTATTTATAAAATAATATTATACATATATATATATTTATTTTTTAAAATTATTTATATATATATTAAAAATGCCTATGATTGAACCTCCGAAAATCGCCCCAAAATTTAAAGCCAACAAATCAAAAGCAGGTAGATAGATGTTCTAGTCACATGGCATGTAAATAGTAAAAAATTATAAATTTAAATTAATAGAGTTATTAAATGTTAATATTTAATAATTGCCTAATTATAACAATTTAACATAATTTGTTGAAATGTATAAACAACTAATTTTTGTAACTTTTTTTTTTAAATAACCAGTTCTAATATAGATTAATTTGTTTAAAAAAATAAAATCTATTTTAAAATTTGGAATATTCTGATTCATGTCGCTCATTATTAGATCCGGTTGTTTACCTGTTTTATCGATCCTGGCGGTGATTGAGTATGCTTTAAATTTAACTAGGCTAAAGCTATATTCGGATCGAGTCTTCTAAACAAATCATTCTTTTTTAGTCATGATAGCCTCTCGTTTGATTTAGGTGGTTTTTATGTCGAGACCTGTTGGAATGCTTACACCGTTCATTTATTTTATTGAGAAATGCTTCGTCTCTGTTTAAAGAATTTAAATTCTGACTCTTAATAAAACATAAAAATTGTTACCTATTTTATTGTTAAAAATATATAATACAATATGAAATTCAAGCAGGAAGAGTATCATACTACCATACTAGTTTTATTTTTAATCTTTAATTATTAAATTTTAGTTACATTTTTTGAGGAACTAAAAGAGAAGATAAATGCTTTGCCTTTGTTGAAAGATTTTAAATCCTGATTCTTAATAAAATATAAAAATTGTAATATATTTTATAGCTAAAAATATATAATGTAATATGAAATTTAAGCCAAAAGAAATATACCCTATTATCAAAGCCTGTTTTTTTCTAATCTTTAATTTTAGTTTAATTTTTAGAGAAACTAAAAGAGAAGATATAATTAAATAAGAAGACGCTATTGGCACCGAAAGGGAGTTCACCTATTTTCTGTTATAATTTAAAATTTCTGGCAAGTTTGCCGAGGTGACTCATCTTGTCTGTCTTATACACTTCCTCCCACGCAACCCTGGAACCTTATACTCCAGCTTGTTCACAGTTTCATTCAATTTATTTTTTCTCTGTTAAAAAAAAATTAATTAAAATAGCAAATTTTTTAAAAATTAATATTTATGTTTCTCAATATCAAGGGCAAAGAAGTTACCATTTATATAATTGAATATAATCTAATTGTAAAAAAAAAAATCTTTTTAAACAAATAGTTTAAAATAAGAAGTTAATAACTGACTGATGAATAGCTATTATTGTTTTAGTAATTTAAATGTACGCTTTGTTTTCATTGATTAACTGTGTTATGTTTATTTGTTCTTTGTTTTATATGTGCTAGAGTGATACATTGTTTTAGAGAACATATTTGAAGAAATAAACCGAACAAATATTATAATATTTATAATTATACTTAAATAATAATTATGAAAATAAAAGACTTGTAAATCATTAAAAAATATTTATTTATTTTCATGGAAAATTTATTTTTCAATTAAAAAAATAATAAAAATTTTATTAAAAAGTTGAAAATAATTGTTTTATTTTATCAAAATTCACTTCTATATTAACGTAATTTTTACGAATTTATATAAATAGTACATCTCGTATTAGTAACTGTTTTTAAAACATCTCTTTGGAAAAATTTAGTGAAAATTGTATTTAAATAATACTTGGATATATATTTTTTAATATTGTAGTTTTATTTTTCATGAAAGGTGTCTTGGAAGATATTTAGTCAGAATTTTCAGTCTATATATATGTTTTTTTTTATTATTTAAAATAATGGAATAAAAAAATAATATAAACAATTTTTGAATGAAAGTCCCGATTGTACATCTTCTCAGATAATTAAAAAAAAATCAACAAAAATCCACCTTATTTTATTTTTCTTAATATACTTGTGTATATGAATATAATTTTTAATTTAGGGTGTTATTCTAAAAATTATTCTATATTTTTTAAAAATAATTGGGTTTGTTTTTTGAAGTTTTCTAATCTCTCCATTATATAAAAAAGTTTTTAGTGACTGTCATATTTTATTTTACATATAAAAAGCGAGACGGATCATAACAAAGACAGTTCTTATTACCAGAATTATGTCTCCCTTATTATGGCTACAAATTGTCGATAAGAATAATTATAATTGTATAATAATATAAATTGACAATAAGGCGTATAGATTTTTAAAAAAATTAAAAATTTATCCGAACTGTGGTTTTGTTCCATTTATTTTATGTTGATAAAAAATAATACAATTTCAACTACACTGTACATATAAATTACAGTTATACGATTAGAGCAACAGGTAGTAGAATTAAATGACCAGTTGTATAATTTGTAAAATGGGAGTTGGTTCCCCATTAGGTGGATAGGGGGTATCCCTATATATCAAATATATCAATATATATATATTTTTAGAAATTTACATCTCATGATGTATAGGTTTAAAGAAATATAATAATTATTTTTCTATCACCCATTAAATTATTAAATTTTCATTTAAACTAATTTATATAAGATAGCTTTTATATCAACCTTTTGCTTTTTATTTGTTTTGATACGTAAATATTAAATCACAAATGAAATTATTATTTTTGTATGTTTTATTAAATTTGAGGGGGAGGGATGATAATCACCTTTGACAAAGAGATACATTAAGAGTATCTCCCGAACCCAATCGCTATATCGTTGGCGATGTTCCCATTTGGAAGTGGGACATAACAAGTCGTGACGTCACCAATTAGTCTTAGCGGGTCCTCTCCTGCCCTGGCTAAAAATAGATACACCCTCGCTCACCTCTCATCTACTTGCTTTTATTGATGCTATTTTTGGATCTATCTATAAATGTTCCGTTTAAATTAAAAATAAATTCACTCAGTTACTTTTTTTTATTTAAATGTATAAAAAATTGGCATACAAAGAAATTAATAAAAAAAAATCCCTATATAAAAAGGTTAAATTTTTATAATGGATTAAACAGTAGTTTCCTTATCATTTCTTTGAGGGAGATCTCCATGTATTAAATAAACATATTTAGAATTAATACATCAATATTAAATTTAAAATAGTTTTTAAATGAATTACTGCAAGGATAATTATAAGCGTAATTTTGAAAATTAAAATATTTTAATTTTATGTTCTTTCTGAAATAGTCTACAAAAATAAACATTTTTGATAAAATATCTGATTTTCAAAATTATATTACAAAATATTGAAAATTAAACTATGGGGGAAACTGAAATTATAAGCATCATATTATGAATGAAAAATATAAAAAATTTGACTGACATATTTAGCATTACAAATTATTATCAACATTACTCCAAACGCCATATCTTTTAGCATCAAGCAATTTTTGGAACAATAAACGAAAACAAATTATATCATTTTGAATCATAGCTTTATTAAAAGTAAAGACAAATAAATTAATTTTACACCAATAAGTATTTAAAATAATTCAATAAACAATAAATACATTGTCATTTTTGTTTATAATTGATTTGAGTTTGAGCCATTTTTGATTTGGAATGTACTATAAGGACTCGTAAATATTTAAAATTATAATTTATTAAAGAAAAAAAATATTTAGAAAATAATGTTTTTAATATAAGTTCATAAATTATTTAATTTTGATCAGAAGTTTTGAACAAAAGGTAACTGAAGTTAATGGATATTTTAATATTGAATGTAGTTTTAATATATACCAAGATTAATAAATAAATAAATTAATAAAATTTCATATTTAAAAATGACATCATGGTTATCAAAATAAGAAACAAAAATAAATATATGTGATATTTTTTTATTGAATGTGGAGAGAAATGAAAAATATCTAAACAAGGTTTATATCTAATCTACATTAAAATAACTAATATCGAAAAATATGTTGAAAATAAAAAAAATATATTTACAATAAGTATGTTTTTTTTCTCTCATATATCCTTTTATGCATTAAAAAACCGGTGCCACTACAACCCATGAAGGGATTGGGGTTCGCCACTTAGAAAGAAAATACTGTTTATCAGTCAACGGTTGCGCAAGGTGATTTGACCAAGATCACGCTCAACCGTCAGGTGTTCCCTTTATTGTATTATTTGATTAAGTGAACCCACTTCATAGAGACTGGGTGTTCCCTCGGAGGGTCTTCTGAACCTGGGTTGGATCCACCCTGAGGTGGATCTATGGCTAATCTAATAAAACAAATAATTAACTGCCCATGCTGGACTTAGACCCATGACTTGTAGCACAGAATTACTCTGCCTTACTCACTGAGCTACCCGCTCTCCCCTCATATACATTAACAACTAATAAATACATGAAATGCATACTATCATAATTGCAAAATATGAATGCACTATAATAAGCATTTGATAAGTAACTATTATCTATATCTGTTTTTTCATATATAACAGAACCCTATGTTGATATTCTTAAATACTTAATTTTTATACATTTTTAAGTAGACCAAAACCTCCAAGGATTAACAATTATTGATGCTTATTGTCCAAACTAATTTACAAACGATAATCACTTTCTAACATTTTATAAACCAATAAGTATTTTAATTAGTTAATGGAATTATATTATATTAATTTATATTTTAATAATATTACTCTGAATTATTGATATAACTCAGATATTTTATTCTACATTTTACGGGTGTTTTCTAAACAGATTATAAAAATTTAATGGCTTTAATAACGAAAACGTTTGAGTCACACTCAAACAGATTTTTGTATCTCTATTCTGAGTGAATTACTGTAACTGTTTGAACTTTTATGAGATATCGTAAACAGTGGAATAAATACGCTATACTGATATTACTAAATAATGGATTTAGTTTTACAATCTCTTAATAATTTTATTTTATAATGATTCAATAAACTAAATGGAATCAAGGAATCATAAAGTATTATTCCTATAATATCTACAAAGTTTAATTACAAACATTTTTAAGGAAAAAATGTTTCGGAAGATATATTGCGCCTAATCCTCTTTACCTGAAACATATCTAGATATTTTCATAAGTGTGTTTTGGCAGAGTGCCTGAAATGACTTCCGCCATGTCAAGAGACTTAGTCATTGAGAGGGTTCAAAATAAGATGCGTTTTTAAAAATATCAAAATGGTCTAGAAAACTGTCTTCCGTAAATATAGATGAGTTGATACATGTTATACAGTTTACCTAGTGTTTTGTTAGGATTATTTTTGAAATAATTTTCTTGCATTTAAAATTAAGCTATTATTATTAAATCAAATACATTTACATCTTTTTAATTATCTACTTTTTTAAAAAAAAGTAATTAAGTGATTAAAAGATCAGGGTACTTTAGTGATCAAGGCACTGTACTCCTATTCGTTCTTTATAGTAAAGAAATTGTCATTGTAATCTTAATAATATATTTTTTTTTCGTTTGGGATTGCAGACTATGCAGATCTCTGGATGTGTAATGTAATTGTCTTATAAACGTATTTTGCTTTTGAGACCGTTGATAGTCGGGAGGGTGACCCAACCTCAGGTTACACTGTTATTACATGATCTTTTCAGTGCAGCGACAGGTTTCCCATAGCTCCATTGCCGAGGGCCACTTTGTGGCCAAAGTTATTGCCACTGGCTCGCTCCAGCTTAAGGACTATGACAAATCGGTCTGCGCACCAGTACCTATGTTTCTTTCCCTTAAATAGACTATTCGTTTTGCAATTCTTGATTAAAGGTAGGGTCCTCACATACCCAATAAGGAGAGAATCTGGAGCAGGCGGCAAAAACATGCAGGCTTATATATAATTAAATTACATGTTTTTTTTTTGTTTTATGTCGATCATGAGAGCTTACCAGCCATGACTTTGAGCAGCCCAATAAGGGTTTGATACCCTTCTACGAGCACAAGGATTTAAGCTCCACCATAGTTACATTAATGGTTGTTGTGTTACTGGCAATTGTGGTTGTGTTAGTTCACTAACTTGTAGTTAGTGTACCCTTACTAGGTTGGATATTTACAGAGGCACATACTCTAGCAATCTGGACGAAATCACTCGACCCTGATTATATGAAAATGGTGGAGGAAGGGAGTACGGAGAGTATAAAAACATTCCAATATACGAATAATGAACTATACGATTAATTAATATCATTAATAAAATAATATATTATGGACTGAAATTGATACTATAGAATTTTTTATTTATTATGCTGCAATAAATTTACAAACAATTATTTTTAGCTTACAGACAATTATTACTGTGTCTTTTTTAGTAAGTTTAACTCATTAATTTCATTATGTACTATATATTGTAAATATATGTTTATCTTTGAGTGATAATTTATTTATTTATTTTTTGTGTAAGGCTCGCTTAAATGTCTAGATTGTTTTGAACTTACAATTGTAAAAATATTGTGTTCAAGATAAATTTGTTTAATTTTTTTTCTTTTATATTTTAGATATGAATGTTCAGTTTGGAAATGGTGTTATGTATAGATTGGCTTATGTTTATGTTTGATGTAATTTACTTTGGTTCATTTATTGTAAAGTACATATTATTAGAAGTCCTCATAATGCTTTTTATCATTAATACAATTACAATTATAGTTTAAAATTTTGGTTTTAAGAAATGAATTTCTTATCTTATTCCCAAAGTTGTCGACAAACTTATATCTGATGGATGATGCAAAAATACCATTTTTTAAAATTTATAGTTGTGTGATTTTACTTTAACATCCTTGCATGTTTAAATACTTAATACAAAAAGGATTAAAGAATATTTAAAAAAAAATTCTATTGCAAATAATTTTTAAAAATATTAATTTTTATTTAGTATTTTCTCTTGAAGAAGTTTTATCTTCTTAATTTTGTAATTTTTTAAAATTTCCTTTTATATTAATCCTGTGAAAAGGGAGTTCCTATACTGCTTGCCTACAATATACATAATTTAAATGTCATTTTTTAAAATAAATTTTATTTTAAATTCCTGAATCTGGGCTGAGCCAATTGGCAAAAAAATTTGTTTTTCTTGTATCAATGATAAATCAACTTTGTGATTGAAAGTCTCTCCCGTGGCACTCCCACTGTTAATAAAGTTTTTTTAAAAAATAATGATTTGCAATCACTTAACGTGTTTCAAAATATATTAATTATCTAAAATTAATTTATCTGACATGATTACGTTTACATTTTTATTGCTTTTACTGAATGAAGTTTATAATCCATTTAATGAGAAATTCTTCCCGAAATACAGGTGTGTGGTCTCCAGTACAGACACCCGAAGTCGAAAGGAAAAAGTTTGATTTCTCAAGCGAAATAAGAGAAGAGAAAGAAAAAGAAAAACGAAGAGCCGAGGAAGAGGAGAAAAAGGAACCACAACCTCCGGTATGGACGCCGAGGAGTGCCGGCGCTAGCCCGACGTTAGATAGGAAATATAGAGCTGTCAACTTTCAAAGTCCTACACCTTCCCGCAAGGAAATTAAGACTCCGATCGTAAGTACTTACATTAATTTTTTATTTTAAATTTATATGATGTATGATTCTAGCATGCTCTTTTGAGTAATTTGTATAGTATATTAGTTAGTGGGAAAATTGTAATATAATATGGTAATAATTAAAAGCAAAGCATTATATTATTATATTATTAAGAGGGAGGTTTTAATTTTCTTTTCCTTGGTCGATTGATATCATCGGTTCTTTCAAAATAAAATACCAAATGATTTGAACATATAACGATAGACTGTTTATTTACTAAAAATGGTCTGATTTTGATTTGGAAACCTCTCAAATTATCATGGGTATAATCAACCATAAATTATAAATGAAAAATTTTAAATATTTCAAAAATGTCACCAAAAGCGTTAAGAAGATCATTTGTGTGGACACACCAGAAATAGTTCCTGTTTTTCTCAAGGAACTGATTAGGGAATAGAAAATTAATTTCTAATTAATTCTAACTGTATTTAGAATATGATTAGTGTACATTGAACCAAAGTCATATTTCAAAATATATAAAATGTAATTGTGATGATAAAAAAAAGAAACAAAAAAAAAAATAGGGCCTTAGGTAAGGTCTAAAGGATGGAATGGCCAAGCACGTTGTGGGTTTGATTCCCACCTGGGTCGGTTAATTTTTGTTTCTCTGCGACCCCGTGAAATGAATCTTGACTTTCCCAATCTGGTAAATATGCGACGACAACCTCAAGGTAACCATCAGGAGTGGCAAAAAGGACTACGATCGAGGGACCCACTTGTTGGAGTTTCCCCCACCAAGTACCGGTACCAGTAGGTAATATCCGTATGAATGTATGATAATTAAGTTAGGTAAAAACAGGAACAATTTTCACTATTGATGAAAACTACGATTCATTTGTTAAAAGGTTTAAAATTGATGAAGTGTTATTGAAGTTAAATAAATGTAATATTCTAAAAAAATACATTCAACACTAAAAAATAGCATGAACTGTTTATTCTAAGACAGGGATGAAAAATTACTAACTTTCTATGTATCAATTTTTTTCAAGAATTTATGTGATATAAACCTTTATATTTAATTATTAGTATTTAATTACAGTAATAAAAGATATAGAAAACCCTAAGATTTGATGCTGTTACTTTAAATACTGTCTACACATCTCCATCCATGGTCACCATCATAACAAATATATAATATTTAATATATTGTATTTTAAAATTAAATAAATTTGTATAAATCGTTAAAAATATTATTTTAAATGTCTTCATTAGAAGAATAAATAATTTTATGTCTTCAGGATTCTCCCGAACTTCCAAAGGAGTTGCCCATTGAAACAGAGGATTCAAAATCAAGGCTCGTCAGTAGCTCGAGTGAAAATAGCACTTTATCTTCCGCGCTTAGGCTACCTGCAGCTCAAAACCCAACAATAACCTTACTTCAGAAAGCCAGAGGTATTGGTTTGTTCCTCTTACATATTATTATTTATTCTTTTAATATATAAAAATATTTTCATTAAATTTAAGAGGGCCAAATTCCCCGAGGAGCACAGTACCTAGAAGAACAATCTTCGTACGGAGGACCTGTCGGACCTGATGAAATTAGTACGAATCATCTTATCATAAACAATAATTTATTAAATATGTTACATTATGTACTAATTATGTTTTTCCCCCCCCCCATAGTTTACAGTGTAAAACAAGAACATGTACTAGAAGATAGTAGTAAGAAAGTTGTAGATCTTGGACCGAGGAAGATTGAAGGTATCGGACCTACTACCAGGGAAGGAATTCCTATTGTATTAAGATCTGTAAGTATTTTTCTAATGTTATGTGTAATTATAACAGTTTACTTACTACGAAGGTAAAACTTTTTGGAGAGTCTTACAGGGTTAATGGTACTATCATTATTATCCTGGAACACAATTTTATGAATTCCATTTTATCAAATTTTCCCCGTTCAAAAGATCTTTATTGCATTATTGGACATTTTTAAAGATTTTATATGTCGATGAAGAACAATAAAACTAAAAATACAAAACCTCTGAATTTATATGGTTGCAAAGATAATGGGGAGAGGCTAACGTATGTGTGAATTACGAGTTCCCGGCAACCTGATAAACCGAAGACCTGATAACCCTTGGGACGGGAGGTTTTTTAACTCTGGAATTAATCTCCCGCCCTCTCCTCTGACTCGGGTATAATCCTGTATAGCTGAAGTGGTGAGGAAAAAAAAATAGGTTGGAAAGATAATAAGCATTAAATATTATTAAATAAGTATAGACATCTTAGAACAGTGTTTTCAACTTTCTTAACATCCATCCAAAAAATATCTTTCCCTTTTTTTTCTTATCCTGTTATTTCTTAATAAAAATATTTAGTCTAAAATTTATCTCATTAGGTTTAGTGAATGAGTTTTCATAAATTATAATAGAGAGAGAATTTTTTTTTTTTTTTGTATCTGTTTATTGAGTAATAATACATTTTGCCACACTTACGGGCACTGAGTACTAAGGCAGAGAGAGAATTAAGAATATCATGTTTGGCAGATGTACACTTCAAGCTACAGCTACCGTGAACTTTGGCCACATACCACATACCAAACCCCATCACACCTCTGAGCTGTACTATTATTTCAAGTTTTAGCTAAATATGATTCTTTTTTATTATTTAAAAAGTATAAATCTCAATCTTATGTTACGATCTTTATCACTTGAATTCTATTGCAGCTTAAATTTACACAATTTTTTTTTTAATATGAGTACACAATGGTAGGTTTCTAAACAAAGAACCTTAACACATTAGCTGCGGGGGTCCCCAGGTTCCGATATTCATCTCTACTTTGGCCGGGATTGTTTTGAATTTTGCTTATCTTACAAAGTCTCTAATATGGCCATTTTTAAAAATGTTTGAATGGGAGTAGGTGGATAGATGTAAAAATAGATACAAACGTAAATAATCATTATATCTGATATAAAGCTATAGGACGTCAGGGACTATAACCACAGCTAAGGCATCAAGATGAATAGGTTTATATTAATTATTCATATTTAAATTGTAATTTTAAATATTTTAGGGCCCTTTGTCCTTCAACAAATGTTTGAGCTTTATTCCGTTCTGTAGTACTTGCTATTATGAAGTTCTTGAAAATGGTTTATCTTCATATTGAATAGTTAATTCACTTTTTATACTAGCTCCTAATGTGGTAAATTTATTTATTTTGTGATAAAATGACAATGGGTGTTTGATTTTTTTAAATTAATAAAATTGTTTTTATGAATTACAATTTGTTTTTTATTTTAGGAAGTTAAGGAAGACAATCAACAAAAATGGTATAAACGAATGTACGATTCCCTCCATAAAGCAGGCAGTGATAGTAAGTTTATTATCATTATATTTTTAAAAATATTTTTTCTCTAAAATTGGTGCAGGAACTAATTTAAATTTACCTTTAGTCTTAAATCTGATTTGATTTATAAACTATTTGAAATAAATTCATCTTATCACAGTCCTATTTTATTTACAGAGGACTTTGTTACCGTCAAGTATAAAACAAACAGGAGAGGTGATTAATAAATAATCATTAATTTTTATTATAACAGCACCCTAACTAACTTAATTCTTTCTCTAACAGCTTGAGTGAATATGATTGAATAAATAATAATGATTGCTTTATAAAATGTAGTATTTAAGAAATAAGTTTAAAAATATACAATAATTATAAAAATATTCATTAAAAACCAATCACAAGCTTATTTATTCTGTTTGCTGCATTGACATAAGTTTACTAAAAAATTGCTGCATTTGTCATAAATAAATTAATTTACATATCTGCATTTGGAACATAATATTTTATAGCTGATGTTAAACTTTTAGGTTATTTAACATATTGTAAAGCTATAGTCAGTTTAAACTAATTTAGATATTAACTTTTTTTTTTTTCAAGATTTGTATATAAATAAAAACATTCAGTAGTATTCTATAGATTAGCAGTTGTGAAGCATCAAGTAGTGAAAATCAATTTTCACAAAAAATTTAAAACAATTTTCACTTCATATAGAAATAATATATTTTAAAATTCCAACTACTCTTAAATTAAATAATGCTAATCATTTTTTCATTACTGTTGTGATGTGAAACTATACAATGAACAAAGAGATACAAAACGATAAAATGGAATTTCTATGATTTTACAGATATATTTTATTAATTATTGTATTTTTTCTCCAAATTTATATTTGATTTTTATTTTAGGTTATCCTTTAATCTATTCAGGAGGTTACGTTTCTGAACCCGAGAGGGTAGGTTACGATTCTGATGCTTCACTTTCAAAATATGCTACTCTAGATAGAAGAAAGATTCGAAATAAAGAAAATGACTTTACTACCAGTACTATGCCCAGGAATAGGTAATTATTTTATTATTGTTATTTTGTTACGAGTACTCTTACATCACTTAGTTTACGAAGTAGGGTATTTTAAAAATTGCTTTACATTATAGTCGATTACTAAAATAAGTACTCTACACAAACACATACTATGTATCTCTTTTAAAATAAATGTCTCATTTTAGGTATGCTCCTGGAGTGAAATACGCTGCTAATGTATATAAAAATCAACCAGGGAGAATAGAAAATTATGAACCAGGCAATTCCTCTATAGCTGAAAAAGAAAAAAGACAAGTACGCATTGTTAAAATGATTTTTATTTTAATTATTTTATCTGAAATATATTTTTATAACTCAAAAAATATTTTTTTTATTTGTATAAATATGATTGTTTATTTATTTTTTCAGTGGTGGGACGAAGTAATGGACATATTTGATGGGGTAAGCAGAAGTATTAATATTCTCTTATGTTTAGTCATATTTTGTTTAAAAACATTTTAAATTTGTATTTATGAAAATAAGAGAGCAGGTTAGCTCAGTGTATAAAGCATTGTGCCATTATGCTCCTGATTGAATCTTCCAATCTGGCTATGGCAAGTTATTATTTATACTGTTATATCAGCCCTAATTTTACCCTTGGATCAGAAGACCCGCCTGACGGAACAGAATATATTAATATCTGAACCAACTTGAACTACCAAGGCTCCGGAGTATAGGAGCACAGTGCCTTACTCACTGAACTACTACGCTCTAAATAAAAAATAATAAAAATAAGAAATTGATCAATTTTTTTATTTTATAATATACATAATTAATGCCATGTCAGATGTGATTTTCAACTATCATGTATTTTTAGGAGCTGAACGAACAAGGAAGGAATAACCAGTTATCTTCATCTATTTCAGGAAAACCCTTTACCTAGTAAGATTTTTATTTATTTCACATTTTCTCCAATTATGAATTTTTTTGTTTGTTTTATATTTCATTAAAATGAGTTTTAGTTCTCTTAAAGATACTGGCTACGAGAGCGACTCTACGCTCGTCTTCAAGAGGAGGGAAAACAACATAAGCGGACAGCTGCTGTCTCCGGCCGAACAGAAAATGGCCTACAAGGTGATCCAGAGGGGGGGCGAGGTCCCGCTTCAGGGCCTTCGTAAGGCAGCACCCGAGAGGCCTAAAGGTAATTTATAATTAAAAAAAAAAAAATAATTTCCTCTTCAAATAAAATTGGGTGTCTTCCTCCATCATAAGATAAAAAAAAAAAAATTAAATATTAATTTATTAAGCATAAATTTATAAGCAGCTGTTCCCAAGTAAGTACGTATATAATGCAAATATTGAATTTTATATTTGATTTATTTTTTTTAAATACTTCTTACTGTTTGACATGAAAAATGGATTGATCTTAATTTATACATATTTTTCTTTTGTGCTGATAGCCATATTTGCTGTAAATTTTATAGTAGTTTTTTTAGAATTTTCGTTTCATTTTATAAATGATTTGTGTGCTATTTCTCTAGAAAAGTCATTTTTTTTTTTCATAATTATGAATTGAAATTGATATGTTGCCTGCATTTGAAATAATTGCAATAGATTTGTGATATATGTTGCCTTATTATCATTAGTTCTTTATTTGTTATTTATTTTAATTTTTTTCCACTTTTGTTATATTTCCACATTTTGTATTTAATATAAGACTGATTAACTTTTTATTTTTATATTACAGGCTGGGGCAGAGAAGTATTATATTTTTGAAACTGTTATAGAATATGTAATATTTGTTATAAAAAAATGTTATTGCAAGAATTTGTTTGGATATGGCATTTAAAATAAATTGTACAATGAATGAAGTATGTATACGATGCCTATTAGCATTCCATTTTCAAAAATTTTTCGAGTTGGTTTGTTTGGTAGGGCAGAGATGTTGATCACTATGAAGGAGACGCATTCAAGCTATGGTTGCGTGAAATGGGGTAATTCATATTTGAAACTGAATTGCCATGACTTCAATGTAATGCTCGACTTCTCTGACCCACACAGTAAGCAAAGAACAGCTTTGACAATCAATGTCTTCAACAATAATGGACATCACATATCAGATTTCATTTTTTGCATATCTCATAAGTGCATTTCACTGTATGTCTAAATATAATTCTTGCAATAATTTTTTTTAACAAAAATTACAAATTTTGTGGCTATTACAAAAACATACTATTTCAATGTCCCGCCTTCTATTTATTGCTTGGTATTTATATGTTTTTCTATTGCATTATTCTTTAAGAGTTTTGAAATGTTTTTTTATATAATTTTCACCAATAGCATGAGTACATTTTTTGTAGCACTACTAGTTTGATTATTTTTTTATTACTTAATTTTATTATTTGAAGAATCATTTGGGAGCAGCTAACTTCAGTAAAACATATTGAGTTAGGTTTTAATTTAAAACATTACAAATTATTTAATGCAATCCTACTGGGTTTTGTATTAATTTAAATCAGTTAGTACTAAATTACTTTAATTTTTGGATAAACAATTAAACCAGATTAAAAAAATATTTATATACCAATTTAAGTAAGTATTTTAGCATGAAATATATTTTTATCAGATGCAATTGCTCACAGCATGAAATATTCACTTCATTATGCTTCCGAGTTTTTCTTTTATTTATTTTATCCACAGTTGTTCACAATTATTACTTATATTTAGTTTATTAGCACATATCGTTCCATATTGTATCTTAGAGTTAAGCATCTTGATGATATATAGTTAAGCATTAATGATCATACAATATACTTTGAAAGTTTTATTACTGTTTAGTGACACTTCATAGCCAATGTGTGTTGCACTATTTTTTATTTCAATATTTTTTAAAACAAATAGAAATTCATCACTTATGTTAAGCATGTAATGAATGAAAGAAGCACACTATTAATGGTTTAGTAGAAAAGTACCAAATAAAAAAGACATATTAAAGGCATGTAGGTAAAAAAAAACAAAAAAAAAAAAACAAGGCATGTTCGCTGGTGACGGTATGTAGGGGCGTTCCACAGAGCACAGCTTCGGACCACTCCTAATTTTTTAGGACCATTTTAACATGAATTAACATAATTCTGTTATGATATAAATTATCTAAATGCTAATTTTTTTATTGCTCTGTTAATAGAAAATTCAGAAATAGAATATTTTCCACTTTCACCAACTCTCACACGAATCAGAGTGCATAAAAAATCTCCAAAACCCCAGGAAAAGGTGTATTACCCGGTTTCAGATGGTTCAGTCTATTCGCCGCTGAAACACAGTCCGAGGAGCGTAGTGCCATCTCCGCCTAGAAGACACTCGTCGAGGTACTGTTCAACTTTAAAGTTATACTCCCAGAGCGGAACATCACCAGAGACCAAACCTGAATTCTTCAAGGATAAGCTTGTGACAAAGTTACCAGTCAAAGAAAGCATCGGTGTAAAAATTGAAAAAACTCCTGGTAGAATCAAGAATACTATTGTGAAATATGAGCAGCCTAAAGCTGAATACGGTGCCATAAGACCGAAAAAAGAATTGTTAAGAAAGTCTCCAGAATTGAAAGCTCCTGCTGAGGTTAAAAAGGTTCTTAAGGAATCAAAATCTCCTTCAGGAACCGTTGTTAAGAGTTCGACGACTCTGTACTCTTCTAATAAAAACAGCAGAAAACTCAAAGAATCAGACAAATCAGTCAAGGTTACTGTTGCAATATCTTCTAAAGGGAAGGAATTGTTGACGTCATCATCATCAACGAGCTCGAAGAGTGATTTTAGGAAATCCCCTCTGATGTCTAAAGTTATAGTCAAAAGTAAAAGTCCAACTGAAAGCAAACCTGCTAGTCCCCCGATACCGAGGGCAGCGAAGCCTTCGTCACCTGCTCTGCTGAGTGACCAGTCTAAGAAGAACAAGAGAGACGTGACCATAGATCAGAAGAAAAAGCGAGATAAAAAACCAGAAGTAATAACAAAAAATGTTGATAAAACAAAAGAAGAAGAGAAGAAAAAAATTAAAAAAAGAGTAGAAAATGGTAAAAAGAAAAATGGTTCTAAAAAAAAAGATAAAGAAAATGTACCTAGCGATGATTTTCCAACTGAACAGCAGCAAATAATTCAGCTACCTGCTCCTCCCGAACCTCCTAAACAGCAAGAATTTTTTCAGAAATTACTCCTTCGTGAAAGTAATGTTCCTGCATCTTCACCTACCAGCGGGGTGTTGAGTAGAACTCCATCTGTTTTGGAAAAAGTAAAAAAGTTTTCCGAACCATCTCATACTTGTTATAAATCTGAACCATCTTTAAGGAATCTCAATGTCTATCTATCACAAAAAAAACCTGTCACAGAGTCTAGGTTTCGCAGCTTAGATAGAGGTACAGACAGAGCTTTAAGTCCATTTTACGGTACGTACGAGTTTTATGATAAATTGGATAAATATGATCGCCATAATAATGTATGGGATTATTCCATTTCTTGCAGAACGACTCCTACTTATGAATCAGTTAAAGGCAGAAGTTCTAGTGAACCGCCCCATACCTCTCCAACATTTAGCCAAGATGTTACCGATAATTTAGAATGTGTTTCTCCTTCAATTTCCCGATCGCCATCATGTAGAAGAATTCGGAGATCTTCTTCCAGAGCTATCGAAACTATTTCAGGAGTACGAAGGAAGGTTAGATCAAAGAGCCTAAATGAGACTGATAGGCAGTCACACATGGGAAGTACCAGCTCCCTCAGCATGTCACAGTTCACAGATCACGAGGACTACAGGTCGTATGTTCTCGAGCTTCTCCATTCCACGAGAAAGTCGGAAAAGTTTAAAGAACTCCACAAATTCTATTCTAGCCTTGAAAGAATGGCAGAATTGGAGAAAACGGCCTCTAACACTGATCTGAGGCCTCGCTTGAAAGGTGAGGAAGTGATAGATTTTGATCGATGGAAACAATTGAGAAATAAGGAAAAGGCGGAAAAAGAACTATCTTCTCTTTATGAAAAATTGAAAGATGACCAGAAAGAGAAAGGATTCTTATTTCAGCCAAAAGAAGCAATCAGGTGGAGCGGGGACAGTGGGCTCAGGCACAAGGAGAAGTCCGTTGAAGATCTGAGGTCCAAGTTCCAAAGAATGGTTGAAAATGCAACTTCAGATAAACCATCTGGGCCGGATCCCACCAAAGATATTTACAAACCTCTTTGGCGTGGGAATTCCGTTGCTAATCTAGCACAGTCTCTGACTTCTATTACTGGTTCTAAAAGAGGTCGGCCTGTGAAGGAAACTGACCAGGTTTTGATCAAGCCGCCTGTGAAGAAGGACAGGGATATTGGAAGCCGTTTGTGGAGCAGCCTCTCGATGGAACAGGTCAACGCGTTGAAAACTCAGTTATCCGAAATTTATAGCACTGTCTCGAATCTCAAGCATGAAAGGATTAAGAAAATGAAAGAAAATATTGCTGAATATGAAGTCAGTGTCACGGACTTGAGAAATGAATCTCCTTTACATGTCAGGTGTAATTCTTTACTAACTTCTAATCAACTTTACTCTCCATCGGTTAAGAAGAAAATAGCTGACAGGCAAGCATGTATGAAAGCAGATTCAATCGGCACACTACCGACATGGAAGTCAAAAGCAATGTCTGAAGTTGACAAAAAGAAATTGTCTATGTCGCTGAGTGCTGAAGTAAAAGAGCGCATCAAGAAAAAAAAACATGGTTCACTTGTGATACCTCGGGAGACTTTAGGAGCGGTTGCTGCTATCAAAGGTACCAAGAAATTTAAAAGTCCTTGTACTTCGGAAACTTCCCCTCGAACATGTTATTCCCTTATGTCAGACGAATCAGTAGACAAAGGTGAAGACAAAAACAAAGATTTTTTATTGGTATTGACTCCTAAAGATCAAAGAGATGATGTGAGAAAAATTGTGGACGACTGGGGAGGCAAAGAGTACGCGAGGATGGTTCAGACGACTTCAAGCAGTAGTTCTAGTGCCTCTACCGTTATACATTTAGGCTACAAAGATGAGTGTAAATCTTCGGCGAATAATTTAGGAGAGTTTTCCCAAAGTCAGGCTGATCTAAGACAACTTGACGATTCTTTTCATGTCCCTCGAAAAACTTTGTACTCTTCACAGTCCTTCTCCGATTTGAAAGATTTATTTGGGGAAAAGCACTCTACCACGTATGCCACGTTGCCTTTGAGAAATATTAAAAAACCTTGTTATAGTAGTACTGATAGCTTGTACAAGTCCATTTCGCCTGATCCAATGAAGTATTACAGGGCCTACTTGAATGTAGTCAAAGCGGGCGATGTGAGGAAGTTGAAAGAAAAATTTGAGAGCTACGATGATATTTACAACCTTCAGAAAGAAAGGAGTCCTGTTCGTAAAATGTTCCAGAGCGACCCGGATCTGACAAGAGATTATCTCTCTAGGAAAGGGGGCGAGTTGGGTAAGGTGGTCGTGAAGGGGCAAGAGGTGGGGGACGTCCAGTGGCTGAGGAAGAAGTATGAGTCGAGGAAAGTGTCTCCGGTCCCCTTCAAGATAGAGGACCGCTACATGCCTCATATAAATGTCATAAGCAAGACTGTTAGTCTGCAGCGGCGTGCCAGAACACCTCCTGTCAGGACAGAACAGTCCAAGACGGGAAACGTGGAGCGGCTGAAGCACCAGTTCGAGAAGCGTGGCATGTCTTTATTGGGGCAGATGTATACTTCCACTCCGGAGATCACCGAGCTGAGGGATATAGCGCCGTACCTAGAGTGCGAATGGGTCGCTCACCAGAACCCACGCAGAAGCGAGACGAGGAGGAAGATGCGTTCCCGCCCTGCTTCAGCCTCTCCCATCAGGCAGTCCATTCTCAAGCAAACCGATATCTTTGCCAATCAAGAGTTCAATCCAGAAATCCACAGGCCGATGTACAGATATCAACCTGAACCATGGCAGGCGAAGCATTGGGCCAAGCCAACCGTCACTTTCAAAGGTGTCTTGTTTTTTTTTATTTATATTCTTTTAATGTACATATTTAAAAAAAAAAAAAAAAAGAAGTTTTTCCATCTGATAAATGATTCAGGAGAAATTTTTTTCAGCATCCAATAACTTCATGTTTTTTACTATTAAAAAAAAAAATGAAATAATTTTTGCTTGAGCTTTAAAATTTCTTTTTCTCTGTAAAATTTGTTTGTATGTTGTTGGATACTTTACTGTTATTATTACCTTAATTTATTCCTTTCAGTTATTTCATTTGCAATTTTGTAAGTTATCTTAGTTTTTTTTCTTACCTATCCTTTTTTTTCTTTTAATTTTTTTTTTGGATTGATGCTTGTTTGTTCGATCGTTGCTATGTTTGCATTTTGTTGTTTAGAACCTCTCGGAAACCCAATTCCGACTCCACCAAGAGACAATACTTCCAGGCAGAGGATACAAGGTAAAAATAAAGTGTGCTTTCTCACCATTACCATCTGCATGCTAATCAAATAATTCATGCATAAATAATGCACCTGTGATATGCACTACACTAATATTTGTTTTATTGTTTGTTGTGCTATTTCTTACACTAATTAATAATAATCTTGTTTTCCGCTGTCTAAAATGAGGGAGGTGCCAAATCTTTTTATACACCTGTTATTGTCAAATGTTCCACGTTTGAGAGGTGCCACAACTCCACTCCTCTCCATCTCCTAGCAGTATATCCTGCCACCTTCACAATATAATTATTATTATTCTATTTAGTAAACACATTTGTTTTAAAAATATTTTCCCTTTTAGAGAAGTTTTAGAGTATAAATCCAAACAAGAATGGTTAACAATTATTATCTATTTAATGAATGTATATGTATATGCATCCCGGATCTAAAATAATAACTTTGTAAATGTTTGTGTAAAATATTAAACTTGAATAATATCTGGTTTTATACTCTTGTATAAACTATTAATTTTTTATTTAGTTATTTGCATTCCAACAATCCAATTTATTTACCGATTTTTACTTGTTGCTTTTACAATCTTTAATTTTTATAATTTATAATTACTTTAAATTATTAACTATAGATAACTAAAGCAGTGTATAGATGATTTTTTAGTTCTACATATCTTGAAATATAAAATCCCAATTTGGGAAGGGAGCTAATTTTTTAACTTTTTTTTTGTCCATTAAATAATAATCCAAATTAAAAAAATTAAATGAATTTTTAAAAAATCATTAATCCCTAAAACAGTAGATCTTACATCTTTTAATATTGATTTAAATTAGAGTTCTCTATTTGAGCTATAAATTAATTTTTTTATTATTTAAATTATTAATATTTCAATCTATAACCTGATTTATTTTAATATTAATTTATTTTTTACAGTTAGCTATGTGTATATATTTTCATATTTTCCATGAAAGCATTGCTGTCTATTTCTATTATAAAAAAAAATATTGATGCATTCCTTCATCTGAAATGCATTCCTATAAAAAATATCTTTAGTTAATTTTAAATTATTCCTAATGGTATATTCCTAAAATAGTAGTGTTTGTTGATTTAATAAAGAGCCTAGCTGTAGAACATTTGCACACAGATTCATGCACCGTTGCTCGGCAACAATAAGTACGTCTGTTCCACCACATCACTGATTGGTATCATCACTCCAAACATCTGTTTCTCCTTATTCATCCTCAAACTTGTTTGCTCACCTTTCGTTTCGACTTCACCATCTCATCACTTCCAACTAGGCACCCGTCTTTACTTTGATGTTCTTAATTTTAAAACTTTTTGTTCTAATCATTTCATTATATTATTTTCTATAATTTAAATTTTAACATTTTTAATAAATATTTTTGTAATTTAAATATTTATAATAATAAAAATTAAATTCCACTATGAAGATAATGGGGAGGAGACTATATTAGAAGTATAAATAGAGATAATCAGGTCTTTGTTATTTCAGTCATAAAATTAAATTTATTTTTAATTAAACTAAATCTTTGCTAATTCATCTATCATCGGGACCTTACTATATATGTTAGTATTTTGTAATAATATAAATTCTGCGAATAGGGATGTCCACCTTTGCACAACTAGTCCCGTTTGTTCTCGTTTATGAAATACAGGAATAGTGATGCAATGCTGTACATTCTTATTTGCAGAATGAATGTTATCACAAAATATTAACTGATACCTTAATTTACAAAAATTTGGCTTAATTGGGAATAAATTGAATTTTATGACAGGGACTACTGAGGCCTATTACTTTATTTATGAAAATTTAAATTATATATTATTTGGATATCAGGGTTTGGAGATAAAAAAAATAAATAAATAAATAAAAAAAAAATCGCTCTTACAATATGATTTATGTAATAAAAATATTTATAAAAACAAAATTTTATAAAACGATAAAATAATCAAAAATTTAAGTTCAAATTTAAAGTTATTATTCACTGTTTCTACTTGACAGATTTGTATTTTTCTTCAAAGTCATAACTTCCTTATTTATTACACTGTAATACGGCTGATCTTAGAATGACAAGTCCCACAGATCCAACTATCTATTGCTCAATATGACAGACAAAATTCCTTGTCTGAAATTGATATTTTAATATATCTTAAAAATTTCACTTTCACTCATCTAAACAGATCTTGTCTCATGACCTTCATAATTTTATATTTACTTAAAATTATAAGCATAAAAAGAAATGACTTTCTGTATATGTATTTTTATAATTCTTGTAAGCGACCGTTTTGGGTCATTAGGCCTTCTTAAGGCTAAACCGATTTCGAAAAATTTTACAACAATAATCAAATCAACATTAATGAAAAAAACAATAAAAATAAATAAAAAACCAATTAGCAATTCAATACATTAAATTAATAGTATGGAGTAAAATAAAAACAATTAACAAATTATTTTAAGTCTTCACTTGACAAGCAAGAGAGGAGGACCATCATAAATAAAGTTATTGTTAGTTGTATTTATTTTAATCCATATTATTATTTTTTTTTATTGATTATTGTTTTACAACCTTTCCTCCAAAACTTCATCTCAGAATCTTCTGATAACCACAACATCGAAACCATATTGAATATCGATTGTATAGATAAATTAAAAAAAGTTTACTATTACATGACGGGAGTACACAAAGTGCATAGCCCATGTTCTATTAACTATTTGTTTTTAGTTTATCTTAAAAGTAATATTTTGTTTATATATATAAAGATTTTTATTTTTTATTTTTCCTACCATGATAACAGGTTCATATAACTATTGTTATGCAGTAATTGTTTTTAATTTTTATTGCTATTCATGTTTTGTAAAACATATTCTAAATGTAAAATATTGTAAATTTTATTTATTTTTAAATGATATGTATATAACTTATAAAACCATATTATTCTACAATAGCCAAGCTAGGCTCTATTTGTATGGGGAACCTCCAAAAAACAAATAAATTTCTATCTATCTATGTTGTTGTACAAGCATGACGTGATTTATGTTTTTTTGTATTTGGTTTAGCCTGAAGTAGGGTAGGTCTAATGATCCAAACCTTATCGGATAAAAGTACAATAAATATATAAACAGGAATACAATCTTTTTTTATTTAAATCTTGTCTTCTTGCTAAAAACTAAAAAAAAAATAGTTACCATTATTATTTATTTAAATTTCTTGTATATATTTTTTAAAAAATGAAAAAAGAATAAATTCATAAATGTATTGACATTGTGGCATTGACAGAAAGTGTTTTGGAATGGTGTGTTGATTCAAGTGGCTAGTGAAAATAAAGCTCTGCTAAAGCCTCCTTGAAGGTTAGCATTGTTTGCTAATAGTTCAGTCTCACTCATGCCAGAGTCAGTATCACTTCTTCAGTCCTAGTCAGTCTTACAGCTCGCGATTTGACAGATTAAATTGTTTTCATTTATTAACAATGATTTTATTGATTAGGAGAACTCAATTCGTTTGGAAAATATTTTTATTCAATTATTTCTAATAGTTGAGAAGAATATATACATTTTTTTGTTTTATATTAAAATGAAAATTTCTTAATATGTTAAATTTGGATAATAAAAATCAACCTTTAGTGACTCCGCAAAGGTCGTATAGTTTACCAATTTTTCTGTACGGCCCTCAACCCTATAGTAAGTAATTAATTTATATATTTTTTTCAATTTATTTGAGAAATCAATCTGATATAATACCAAAATATATAAAAAAATACGTGTATTTTATAAAAATTTATTTTAAACATTAATGAAATGTCATCTAGGATAAAAAAGAAAACTACTAATTTTTTTATTATATTCCATCCAGTTTGATGTAAATAAATTGATTAATTAAATCTAACATCAAATAATATATTTTTTGTTTTATTTTAATGCTTTTGAATTAAACAAGAATCTTAGTATACGGCTTAGTTGTTTATATGTTTGTTTCATTAAAAAAAAAATTGAATAAATAAATTTTTAGTTTAGTTAATATTCCCTTCTATTTTGAATGTTTTATAATAAAGATCTAACATTAATTTAGTATTTTGTTCAATCTCTAGAAATTAACTATGATCAATATTTTAATATTTAATATCTTAATTATTGCTATGGTTTAATAAAGCCTGTTGCTTCATTGTTGTTACAAGTTATTATTTTTATTTATTAATGTTTTTCTCCTATTATTATATAATCAATTTATATATATTTATAATTACATCAAAATTTGTTTTTAATTTTAATTACATCTCAAAATAATACTTTTTTGTTACAGAAAAAAAATATATAGAAAAGCATTAAAACTTTTTTACATTTCCCTTATTAAATTAATGTTGATTAGGTTTAATTGTGTCAGAAGGATAAAAAAAATCAATTTAAAAAAAATGTATTTGATTTTACTATCAAACCAATAAAATATTATAACAATATGTTAGTAATTAAAAAAAAAATCATATAAATTTACAACCATTTGTTATATTATCAAGTTTAAGATTGAATACGAATTCACATCCTTGTTATTCCTTGCAGAATCCCCTCACCGTTATGTGGAGTCCGAGGTGAACATCCACTACCGCAGCCCTGTCAGGCATGAACAGAAAGCAGCTTGGCCTGAGGATGAGCTCGCACAGAGGCAAGCGGAGATCATGCGAAGGATCTACCAGGAACAGCGGAGGACAAAGTACCTGAATGAGCTGCATGACATGTACTCGAGGAGGCACGCAGATAATCTTCTGTAAGTCGTTATTTAAAATCTAAAAAGTATTATAGTAATAGTATTTTAGTTAAAATTAAAAGAAATTTAACTTAAGCAAAAATAAAAGTTCTTTAGCTTTTACTAGTAACTGATATGTTAAATTAATTCCCATTTATTTTTTATAAATAAATTAGGTACGATTCAAGGACCATTTTCATTTTATCAAAGAACCTATATGGTTAAATACTTGAGAATCATGCCTTAAACGTTCAATTGCCTAGATTTTAATAATAAAATCTTAAAATCTATCCTATTTAAAGGTCAAATATATTTAATCTCTGTTTTGTTAAAAATAAAATATATTAACAAATCAAATAACAAATTTCATAAAATGAAATAAAGTATAACTATCTTAACAATCTTATTTGGGACCAAGACATCACAGATTAAGCAACATAGCTCATTAATATTAATATAATTTGTATATTCCACAATAATTTAATCTATAGATCATATCTATTCTAATTTTTTAGATGATTTTGATTACTAAGAACAACCTATTATTAATTTTACCAATTTCTTAATTATTGTTATTAATAATAAACAAATTTGTTATTATTTTAAATTCAAATTCCTATCGAGAACCTGGTTGTTTAAACAATTACAATTAACCTTTTTCTTTATTCCAATTGTTGACTGAAAATGACTTCATGTATGTAAACTAAATTCACAGTTCTACGAAGACGCATGTTGATAAAATTATTCAATGTTATATGCAAACAATATAATCCATTTTAAGAGCTACATTTATAAATTTCAAAATACAAAACCATTAATTAAAGATTAAATTTAAGTTTAGAAAATTATTGTTGTTATTTAAAAACAAATTTTACAATAATTGATTTTCAGTAAACTGATAGGTGAAATTAATAAACTAAAAAATGAATTTAAGTTTATTGGATCAATTTATTATAACTTTAAATAAAAATTTTCTTTAAATACAAGTATCGTTCAGTTATTTGTAGTATTTAGTACAATGTCAGTTTTTTATTAAATACCAAAGTTAAGTTCCAAAAAATTCCAGCTGATATTAAGGATATTGGAAAACTTTGAATATGCATTTTTTAAATTAGTTTTCCAATATAGAAAAATATTTATTATTTATGAAGAGAAGAATAGTTGGGGTGATCAGTCAAATAAGAAGGCAAAAATAAATGATAATATTTATTTTGACTATAATAAATATTATCATTTATTTTTGCCTTCTTATTTGACTGATCATCCCAACTATTCTTCTCTTCATTATTCACGACAGTCAACCATTTACCCACAATATTTACTATTTGTTGTATTGTTACTTCCCTCTGGTTTATTTTGTTATATTGTCCTGTTTTTCTCCTTCAGTTCACCGGTGAATATCAATAATAAAAATAACTTTCTCTTTTGTATAGTAATGACCTTTCAATTTGGATAATTTAGTTCTGATGATAGCCTAAATAAATCCTATGAATAAATTTATTTTATTTTTATTTTCTTTATTTCTCTTTACCATCATTTAACCCGATGGGATTTTATTGTAATGAAGTACGAAGTACAAACTGGGGAAGAATAATTAGTACACAATTTTATAATTATTAATGTTTAAAAGTATATATAAAGTTTTGTTAAACAGTATATTTCAGCTAGTCTTAAAGAATAATTTAAAAAAAAAATATGTTTATCCAATGTCTTATAATATACATTTTTACTGCCAAAATGATGATTATTGTCAAAAAATATTTTGTAATAGAAATAATTCATTAGTCGGATGTAGTGTTGGTTTGGGAAGATATGATAAGCTCTCTATAATAGTAGTTACTTATGTATTCTACTCACAGTAGCTTGCTTTCTATTTTCATGTTTTTGAAAAGTGAAAAGGTTCACCTTGTTTCATGTTGTTTCATAGTTAGTAGAATTTATTTAAATTCTTAATTAATCTATTTATATAGTAAGTATCTATTATATTAATTAAAATAAAATGAGATTAAAAAGCGAGTTTTAACACATATTTTTATTGCAAAAATTCACCAAAGAACTTTTAATACATACCCTTTTTAAGTATGTTTTGTGAATTTTTAATCATTGTTTATTAATTTAAAAATATAGTTAGTGGATCAAAATGACTTAAACCTACATACTTACATATCAAAAATAGTTAGATTAAGTGCACAAAGTTCTGATTTCACAGAACAAAAATTTATCAATATGCCTAGTGATTTGCTTTTATGAAATGTTTCTTAATAAGTGTTTGTAATAAACTCGCAATATTTTCAGTATTAAATATTTGTTAAAATTTTAATTAATATTTTATTTATTTGGTAATTTTATTTAAATTATTGGTAAACAGTATTTTTTGGAGTATTCAATGACTACGATTATAGAATTAATTATTAAATTAATCTTCACTCATATCAATTACCAATCAACTTGTCAATGCAATAAAAATGTTAAATTATAAATAAATAAACTTTTTTTTTCCTTATTTTTTTTGTATACGTTACTATAGCAACTGATTTGTTTTTAAAATTGTGATCCCATGCTGTTTTAATGCTAGATAAGATTTGTATTTCATGAGTTAAAAATAATTTACACAAAATAGAATTTAATAGTTCCCCAATTGAAATGCGATTACCTGAGGAAAATGTCCAATAAACTGTTTTTCATTATTTTTCTCAATATCACTTATCCATGGTATTATTAAGATTTATTATTTATTAAAATTTTTAAATAATACATTACTAATATGGGGAGAAGATATATTTCAGAATATAAGCAATTTAAATATCTTCTCTGCAATTCAAGGAGGTATAATAAAATTTTATGTTAGTTGCTTTCGTTGCCGTCTTCAGAAAACACTGAATAAATATAGATAAGGCAATTTTATGACTTGTAGTTTGCAATTTTGTACCTGAAGGTAACTTACGTAATTTTCTCAAATGCTTTTTAACTTCATAATGGAATATTTTTAAAATTGCATAGTGTAAAAGTTTTTTCTTCTTAAATTTTCTGGTGACACTAGTGTGTAAATTTTTGTGGACATTATATTATGTCATGGTATGTATTTATGTATTAGTTCGTCTTTACTAATTTTTGACTAACCAAATATGAGTTTAATATGTTTTATAAAAAATACTCTTTTTTTAAATGTTTTATTTTTAACTGAATTATTTTTTATTCATCTTCATTAAAATTCGACGTATGCTAATCTTAAACATCTGTACAAATATACAGCATAAAATGAATGATGCATGAATATTTTTGCATTGTCGTGAAGTCTATAATTTAAACAACAGTGCTTTATTCATTGTGCATTTTATGTATTGTTCCATTTCAATAACTAAAAATGTTGCGATGAAATATATCAATATTATAATTTTTTTTGTTTGATTTAGTCTAACATATATTAAATTACATGTAACAAATATTAAATTGAATTTGGATTAATCTATGATGTTTTTCATGAAGTTTAAAAATTAGTCAGTTCATATAAGAGGTATTATAAATATTTCTGTGAGGTTTAGAAGAAAATTTTCTTTCTTAACTTTTTGGTTCTATTACAAGTCGAAGAAAAGAAAATATTGTAATTATTAAAACAATCAAAACCTTATGATGACAAAATTTTATATGCAAATAATAGATATTTTTTTAAATGTTTTTAATGTTTATATAAGATTGTTTTATTTTTAAAAATACATTACATGAATTATAGAAATATATATTTTTCTACTAGAAATAATCTTCAATAAATATGAAATGCAGAAATAGGATGGAATAGTGACAAGCTTTTGTTTTTCCAAATTTTTAAATAGTTCTGCTATAAAATGTAGAGGGCAGTAATAACATGTAACAAATATAAATTGAATTTGGATTAATCTATGATGTATTTCATGAAGTTTAAAAATTAGTCAATTCATATAAGAGGTATTATAAATATTTCTGTGAGGTTAAGAAGAAAATTTTCTTTCTTAACTTTTTGGTTCTATTCCAAGTCGAAGAAAAGAAAATATTGTAATTATTAAAACAATCAAAACCTGATGATGACAAAATTTGATATGCAAATAATAGATATTTTATTTAAATGATTTTAATGTTAATACAAGATTGTTTTATTTTTAAAAATGCATTACTAGAAATAATCTTCAACAAATATGAAATGCAGAAATAGGATGGAATAGTGACAAGCGATTATTTTTCCAAATTTGTAAATAGTTCTGCTATAAAATGTAGAGGGCAGCAATAATGTAATATGACGCACACTTAAGTTTTTGTTATAATGGTTGTGACTAAAAAGAAATATAACTTATTTTTTCTTGAATTAGTAGAGAATTTGAAGAGAAGACCATTTTTAGATAGATCAAAAATAATATTTCGATACCTTTTATCAGGTTAATCATTATAATTAGTAAAAATATTATAATATAAATATAAAAATATTCAATGAACTACCTAGAATTGAAGATAATGATGTATAATAAAAGATAATAATATTTTTATTTTTTTATACACTAAAATTAGAATCTTGTATTGTCTTAAGACAGGGGAAGGAAAATAAATAAATAATATTCTCATTATAATATTTGATTTAGTATTTAATTTTTTTTAACACCACTAAATTTAATTGTATGACTGTTAATATTATTCTGTTTTTTAATTTATCCTGCAAAAAAAAAAACAAGATAATATTAAATAAAATAGAATGAAATACCAATAGATATGTCTCACTTCAACATGTTGATATTCTATAAAAAAAAAAATTAAAAAATAGTGCAATGTTTTAACCATTTAATTTTGGCCATTTTAATAATAATATAATAAAATATTATATATATACGTTACATAATATTTTGTTTGAAAATATGTAAGTGGAAAGGGCTGAAACATGACAATGGGAGTAAAATAATAAAATTTTGTCAATTAGTTTATTTATTTTATATTTGTTTATATAAGTTATTGTTTTAAATATTTCATATTGAACACAAGAGGTATAATTTACATTCCATATACCTGAGTATAATATAAGAAGAGATACTATTAATGATAGAGCGTGCTCGAGACGAGTAAATAAGATATTTTTAAATATTGCACAATAGCCCACACATTCTCCGATGCAGGCATTCTCTAGGTCAAGGTTGGCTGCCTTTGGAGGCCTCAAGGTCGGGCAGGAATCCCATCTCCTGTCATTTCCTTGTAATTTCTGGGAGCAGTACCAATTTGGTGGATTGGGAAACGGTAACGGTAACGGTCGTGCCTATTCGGGGGTCTTTGTTCATGATGATGTAACCCCGGTTAGATCTATTTCGATTCCATTTTTATTAATAGTTCATTGCTCATAGTAATGGTTGGTTGATTTGATATAATAGATGCCAAACATCTATGTCATCAATACCAGATCAATAAAATAATATTAATAAAACCAGTTTATGGAATATTCAATTTCAATTAATAAAATATTTAGCTGGTAGGTTATTAAAAACAAAAACATTTATTTACCAGAGGATAGAGATGAAGAGGAAAATGAAAAATAAAAATAATAATTTATATTAAATAATAAACAAATAAAATAAAATAAATAAAAAAAATTAAATCGGTAGATTGAAAATATAAAAATAAAAGATAAGAAATAAATAATTTCTCTATTATATAAAAAAGTTTTTATCGAGAGACATATTTTATTGTCCAATCTCAACAAATTAAAATGCTGGGATAAAGACTTGAACTTTATTTCTTTTCCTGCTTACACTTTATTGAAAAAAATAATACATTCTGAACTACAGAATACATGTAAATTACAGTTTTACGATTTGAAAAGTGAGTATTACAATTTAATAAACAGTTGTTGTATAATTTGTAAAATGGAGATTGGCCTGCCATCAGGCGGATATCGGGGTAAATAAATAAGATTATTTGTATAACTCATTTATTAAATTTACACTAGTAAGAAATGTTCTGTGATATTATCCATCATTGAAATAGAATAGATTTTATTAAGAAAAAGAAAAAAGAAACAATTTTGTCCAACTATGACTTCTATCACTGATATTGGATGTGACATCTAATACTTATATTAATTAATAAAATAAATTTAAATTTATTTTTGATTTGTTTTGGAATTTAAAAATCTTCTAAATGACATTAAAAAACTTCATAACATCTCTTTTTTTATTCATAAATTTTCAGATAACTTTCTTTGAATATAAACATAAATTCCAATATTCATGTCTATTATTTAATATTTAGATCTTTTATTTTCTTATACATAGTTAAAAACTTATTTATACTCACATACAGTTATAAATTAATGTGTATTGAACTTTATCCAAAACATTTCTGTCGTCTTATATTAAACAATTTTTATTATTAAAAATTACTCATCAAAGTTTAATTTTTTAATTATAAATTATAATAATACTTACAAAATTAAATAATTATATTCGGGGCTGCAATGGTTAATGACATATATATAAATTTAAGTTTATTGTCAAAATATTATGGATATGAAAGTAAATGAATTATAAATTAAAACTAATAATGATTATACTTATGTAAAAAATTGAGACTTAATTATAATTAATTAGAATGAAAAATATAAATTTATAATTTAAGGGATTAATTCCATAGAAGTCTGGAAAAATAATATGTTCAAAAGTAAACTTGATTTGTGAATAAATCAAAATTATTTATTAATCAATTCATGATTAATAAATAAATTTAAAGTGGACCATTTTTGGAGAAGATACAGCCAATGGTAATTTGTTGAAGTTTTTTTGTTTATTATTTTAAATAGAGCTATTGTAGTCGACCAAGTACATAAAATTGTATTTCTCCTTCTGTTTAAATATCGCGTTTAGTTATTTCTATATTATATTATATCGCCATCTGCTCACAATATAATATGTGAATCATTCACACTGGCCAATTAATTTAAAATATTATTATACCACTATCTAAGGAATTGGGAATATAGAATACAATAATGTACAAAATTGAAATTTACATCTGAAATAAATATTGTGAATTATACGTAACCGTAAAACTTAATACATTTTTTTTTTTCAATGTTATGAAGACTAAAATTTGGCTGAGGATAAAAAAATAATAGGTAGATATTTTGCTAATTAGATAATGGTTATTATGATTCAATAATATAAAAATGTAAACAATTCGATTTTTTTTTTTTTTTTTTTATACTAAAAAGTTGATAATTTTGTATAGTTTAATGCAAAAGTTAAAAATATTTTATCTAATATAAAATTTAGGATTCCAACTCCTTAAATGGTTTTATAATTTATCAATTGTTTATGAATAAATTTATAAAGAAGATGATAAACAAGCCTTGCCTGATGTCATTGACATTTTATCTTTGTTTGTAATTTTTTAGGGTATAAATAAAACTAAAATTATAGCCAGGTTTAGTTTACATCCTCTTCTGTAATTGATCCATAAGTTGATATGTAAGTTTGGAATTATTATTATTTTATTTATTTATTTTTTAATTCATTGAAATTGTTTTACCTTAAAGAAAACTGTTTACATTTGAACTGTAAACTGTCCCAGAGTCAAAAACCTCATTAAAAGAGATGCTGTGCAACAATATTACAGTTTTTATTACAGAGCATACAAGTTTTCTTTTGAACATTTTTAATATCTTACATATTACTACACTGTAGAATATCTATCTATATATCAACAGTAGAAACTTTTTTTTTTAATTCTTTTTTTTTCTCTTCTTATTTTTTTATGAACTTGATACTGATTTCTCTGGTAAGATCTATATCTTCTTGTATTTATTTTGCTAAAATATTGAACACATGTAGTAATAAAAAAGTAATAGTAATCAATAAATAAAAATCTCAAGTAACATCATATAATCATTTGAAATTCTATGTAAAGATATAAATAGTATAACTATACCATATTTTCTTCACCGTATATTATATAAACAAATTTATTTGAATAGTGCCTAGTTTTTTTTTTTTTTTTATAAATAATAAATTCTGAACTTTACTTCATTATAATGCTAAACATGATTAAATATTTTTAGAAGTGTTTATTTTAAAATATAAGACTATAATTTTTGTTTTATTTTAACATAAATATTTTTTTCAGGCCATCTCAGAAGTCCCCGATACCGCTCAATAGGTACGATGACTTTCCCGTCGAGGTTCAGCCACCGAGACCTCGAGACAGAACTCCAGAACCTAAACTAGTTGCTCGTGCTCTCTATAATTTTGTTGGGCAAACTTCTAGGTAACTCATTTTTATTTTTCTGATTTAAAATTGTGAAGATGAAAAAGTTTAGACGCTGTATAAAATGTTATTTTGACAATTATATCAAATTAATTAATTTAGCATTATCTTTTATATAAAAGTTATATTTTATATTTCAATTTGTTATTTAGGGAATTAAGTTTTCGACGTGGCGATATTATTTATGTCCGAAGGCAGATTGATAAAAATTGGTACGAAGGAGAACACAATGCTATGATTGGGCTCTTTCCATTCAACTACGTAGAGGTAAATCTTGGATTTATTTTATATTACGATTTGTTGTCATTGAGTTTTTTATCTTGATTATTAAATCTACTTATAAACAATAATGATTTATTGTTAAAACTAAAGAATCTTCTCTTTATCAAGTCTTTCTTTTTCTGATTTTTTAGTTTTTTATGTTGACATTGATATAAAATAAGTTTGTATCAGATGTTCAACATAAATGTTGATTTTTAAGTGTTTAAAATTCTATTTAAATCTGAAGATTGTGTGATATCATATCATAAATCAGGAATATTAAAAAAATTATGATCGATGGCTGGAGTAAAAAGAACATTAATAAAATTACTGAGGATGTAGTTAGTGTAAGAACAAATCATGAAATTTGCGGGAAGACGGAAAGATTGGAAACATGATATGAACAGTAGGATAACATGATAAGAATGAATTCTTCATGAGTCAACAGACAAGATTTTGAAAATATATTCAAAATGCAAAGTCTGGGAGATTATATTAAACAAATAAAAGAATATCTCCAAAAATTTACAATTTGCTATAGAGACAGCAGGTGCAAATTAATAAACTAAAGGTTCTTATGAGAGTCAAAAATATGAGTAAAAAACAAATGGTGTTTGCGTAGTTCATAAATGTTCCGTTCATACTAAAAAAAATAAAATAAATAAAAATTGATTGAAATAACAGAATTGAACATGGTACCCACTCATCTACTCTGGCTTGATTTATAAATGTAAATATGACTGAATAGGTAGGGTGTCCACGTATTAGTTCTATCTCCGCCTTCTAAGTGAAATATCTACTTATTCAGTCATAATTAAAATTTTAAATAGAGTAGATAAGTGGGCACCATGCTGAATTCTGTTATTTCAATAAATTTTTATTATATTTTATTTTTTTAGTATGAACAGAACATTTATGAACCATGCAAACATCATTTATTTTTTACTCATATTTTTGATTCTCATAAGAACCTTTAGTTTATTAATTTGCCACTGAAATCTTGCTAATTGTAAATTTTTTGAGATATTCTTTTATTTGTTTAATATAACCTTCCAGGCTTTGCATTTTGAATATATTTTCAAAATCTTGTTTCTTGACTCAGGAAGAATACCTTTCTTATCATGTGTCTAGAATTTCAGCCTTATTTTCCCTATTATGAGAAAAAAATAAATGGTGTTTGTGTAGTTCACAACTGTTCTGTTCATGTTAAAAAAATAAAATAAAATAAAAATTTATTGAAATAACAGAATTAAGCATGGTGCCCACTGAGGCCTAATTTAAAAATGTAATTATGACTGAATAGTTAGCAATTTGGCTTGAAAAGCGGGGATAGAACTAATACGCAGACACCCTACCTATTCAGTCATATTTACATTTTTAAATCAAGCCGAGGAAGATTGGAGCAGACAAATGGATGCTGTGCTTCAGTATAATTAATTATGTTATATATTGTTATATTAGAGAGCCTTTTATTTACTTTTGTTGTATAAATACATTGTTACTTTCCTTTTCGTTTCAGTTAATTATTCAAATTAACATAAGTTTTCTTTCAGATAATTCCGTACGATGGGATCCGTACGCTTCCGAAGAAAGCCAGTGAAGGGCAGGCTAGGGCTAAGTTCAACTTCCAAGCTCAAACGCACTTGGAGCTCTCATTAGTCAAAGGTGGGTTGGTTATAATATATTTATTTCATCTTCGATGATAAATATCAGTTGTGGGGGGACGGCTTTGTTGTAATGATAACAGGGTTGTGTGTCCTCAGAGATAAGCTGGGTTGATTGGTTACAGAGACCTCCTGGACGATTTGTCACTAGCAATTCTATGTGCCAATCAGCGTTTCCACCATTTATAATTAACTAGTAGGCCCGTGCGAAAAATTCGCACAACATATTGTTATCAAATGCCAAATTAATAAGAAAATTAAATAATACAACGTATCAAAAGGTAAAGACATCAAATGTTACTTTATTGATAAATATAATCGACAAACGAAACAAAAATTCATTTGAATCTTCTTAAATTTGTTTGGAACCAACATGCTTACAAATTTCAGTAAGCTGTATCTTTGCTAAAAATTGTCCGATTTCTATGATTTTTTTCCTTTTGTTTGGGAATATCAAATAATTATAAAAGCTGTATCTTTGCTAAAAATCTTTTATATAATCATGGTATAACCCAGGGAAAAGTATGTCATTTTTTAGTTATTCGACTATTGGACTATTTTTCCCGCCTAAAGGAGAAGGAAGCCTTCGAAATTGGTGGCTCAATCTTGAGATTTGGTGAAAAATTAACGATGATATGGCTTGGCGATCTAAAACACCATCGATAAATAATATAAACTCCCCCTCTCTCGATCATAGAGACCTCAAGTCAACGAAATGAGACATGTATTCAATGACAGCACTACAATTAATATAAGGTTGTGTGGATGCGAACCCTATGCCTTGCGTTATCTCCAAAATAGTACGTTTTTGGGCTTAAAAACACAGGATCCAATAGTTCCGGAGGAACTATCCGGGTCTTGCTGTACTCATCAAAATCTTCAAGGTTCAATTTTTCCCGTATCGATCTACAGACCTACCACTGTTCCAGTATTGAAGCCTAGCAGAATGATTGTAGCGATTTTATTTATTTTAGAAAGAAAAACAAAAGTGGAGAATACGATTCGCTGACCCCACATGAAATTCTGAATCCAAAGGTACCCCATTCATGGTATTTGAGCATGACTGGAGCTTATATTTGATACAAAACTGACTTCGAGCCTTACTGTAATAATATATGTGGGGATTTCCCTTTTAGTCTGTCAGATTTTCCTTTTTTTTAAATGAAAACTTCTTTAGGTGCGTTTAGGTTTTACACTTTTTTGTGGAGAGTGAATTAGATTGAGCCGTCAGATCTCCGATGTGTAATGCTCGGCTGGGGTCGACTAAATGAAGTCCATATGGATAAAAATATCTAAAAATTAAAAACTAAAAATCAGAACTGCATTCTGTAAGCCAGAGAATTGTTCAGCATTTCATCCTCTCTGTAATGGGCTATTATCCAAAATTTTATCTAAACATGACGCCATGTTAGGGAAGTGGAAAGGAAAGAAATAGTGTCAAAAACCAAATAATATCGAGTATTATTGAAGTTATGGATTGAAATATCTCAAAAACTTAAAATCGGACCTGCATACTGTAAGGGAGGGAATTGTTCTGCATTACATCCTCTCTGTAATGAGCTATTATTCAAAATTGTATCTGAACGTGACGCCGTGTTAGGAAAGCAAAAAGAAAAAAATAGTGTTGAAAACCAATGATGACGGGTTTTATTGAAGATATGGATAAAAATATCTCAGAAACTAAAAATCGGACCTGCGTACTGTTACTGAGAGAAATGTTTAGCATTTCATCCTCTTTATAATGAGCTATTGTTTATAATTTAGATTTAGATTTCATATTATTAATCTCGCCTTTTTGATGTTTTCACTTCTATCATGTGGTCTAAAGCACGCACCTTAGTTTTTTTCCACTCAGAATCATCTTTAAAACATCTTTTGCCTGAATATTGTAACATCTCTCTAATATTTTACAAATAATCATAATACCTCGGAAGATCACTGTATACTTTTGGAATGATTCCTAAAGAAATAGGAGGTTGTTGAATAATAAACACAACTATAAGAGTATTAATATATTTAATTGAAATTTATAATTATTTTATCTCAGGCATGGGTTACTGACAATCAGATCAAAACACTCAAACTATTATTATTCGCACTATTTATATTAAAATTAAGCACTGATTTTAAAGTAAAGTCAAGTATGGATTGGCAAGCTAACTTTTTTTCTCCATTTCTTCCTTTGTTGCACTTAATTCATTTGTCTTCAAACATATTCCAAAGTTCTGCCAAACACATCTTCCAAATGGTAACACTATTCTTCTCAACTCAAGCTCCCTTGGAGATCCTCTCTCTTGTAATTCCAAACAACTAGTCTCTCTGCCAAACATCTCTTCCAAATTGGTAACACTATTACTGGGTCTTACCCACTGGAGCCAGGATCACTTCTCCTATCTTCTCTTCACTCCAGCCACACAACTGCTTGCCAAAACAAAAACCTTTGTTCCTCCCCTCTTTGAAATATTCCTTTTTGGAGAAACTACAGAGCAGCCATTCTCTTTTCCCTGAATTAGTGAAACTAGATTAGCTTGCTTTTTAACTGTTACATTAATTTATTAAACCCTTTTTACTCACTTCCAATAAAGGTGTACATTACAATATATACAAAATAATATCCTATGCTTCGACATACTAGGTTTAATAAAAATTTAGTGACCTTGAGTCTTCTGGCATTGTTGAACAAAAACCCTGATGAAGACCTACCAAATAGGCTATATATAAGTATTGCATCAAAATTTCTTTTGTGTGATTGTTGAATGCACCATCTGACTTACTATTCCTTAAATTATAACTTCAGTCAATCATTTCCATACCATCACTATGATTGTCTTGATCAGAACAAAATTTCATGAAACTTCAGAAAATTTTGTAGAAATCGAATATTCATTTAAGTTTATTGATTTCAACGTTGTGTGTACATTCTAGCATACATTTATTCCTTAGGGACTCAGTCTCAGAATTTTTTTTTTATTATATTATATGTGTATGAGGAATATATTAACGTTTCAGGTGAGCTGGTCCTTCTTACAAGAAGAGTAGATGAGAATTGGTTCGAAGGGCGTATCGGCAACAGGAAAGGGATCTTTCCAGTCTCTTATGTTGAAGTGTTGGTCGAACCAGGAGAAAGGCCAAGTAATTACTCGTGGATATTATTTTGAATGCCTCTTGATATTATTATATTTCTTTTATTGAAGTATAATATATGAATTCCAGTGAGCCCGTCCGGAGGGGGAAGCGGCAGCAGTAAGCCTATCGTCGCTCCCGCGTCCCACAGCGTGATGCTCAACGGAGCCAAGGACTTGGGTCAGCAGCATTATCAGCCACCCCGCCCCGCTATTTATACTTCATCATCTTTGGTTTGTATTTTTTTTTTGTCTAATAATTATTAAAAATTAAATTATGACTTATGAAAATTAAATTTGGCAATTTTACCAGATTTATTTTGTGTAAGGCTTGTTGCTGTTAACAAATAACTATAGTTTTAGAATATTAGTAATAAACCTTCGAAACAATATGACCTTTATAATTCTGACCTGATTAAAAAATTATAAAGTATGACTTATTAAAAAATTAATAATAATAATAATTAAATATAGAGTTAAATGATGGATAGGACTTTTAAAAAATTATGAATCCAACATTAAAATAAAAAATATAATGTATAAAACAGTACACTGCTTTTAAAAATGGTTTACTAACCTGTAAGGTCGAATAAATGAAAGTTTTTTATTTTAATTGTAATTTTTATTATGATATTTACAACTGTATTAGTATAAATACATCAAGTAAATGTATTCAGAGGAATATAATCACATGAAACACACCTGTTGAGAAATCACCCATTGGTAGTACTCTAATAATATGTCTACATGAGGAGATCATGAGCCCATCTTCTTTTCAGACGCCTCGGAGGGTTATCAGGAATTGAAGATGAAGTAAGGTTAGAAACAAGAGGATTCCGATGGTTATAAAGTTTATTATGGAAGGATAAGTATAACTAAAAGTTAAAAATTTTTTGGATCTTCATTACTAGTCTTCCAAAACTAAATTAATATGCTAATAAGAAAATTATATTTAACTATGTATAATATAATATAACGGAAGCCTCTACGTAACAATGAATGCCTTAATAGAATGCAAAAGGCCATGTGGAAGGCCAAAAAGCAGATGGATAGATAGAATCAACAAAGATGCAATAGAGCTCCGTGTAGATAAATGAAAGAAATAGCCACAGACAGGCAGAGATGGAGTAGGCTTGTTGTTACGGCAAAAGATCTTCATGGTCTGTTATACCAACAGAAAAAAAAAAATGTATAAACTATTACAGTCTTAATAATTTTACTATTTATTATATTTTGAAGAGAAATCGACTGGAGTTTTCAGTGAATGAAGAACAATGTAAAAATAAATAAATTGTATTTCTTTTTATTTCCTTTGTGCTGACATTCGGTCAAAGTTTCAGGTCTTCATCAGAGCTAACAAAGAAAAAAAACAACATAAAATTTTAGAAAATAGTAGACAGTAATAATAATAATGTGTAGGTAAAATAGTAAGTCAAATAATATGTTGGTAGTTAAACTTCATTATTTATATATAACTTAATTATAATATTAAATACTTAATATTTGACCATTGTATTATTAAGGAAGGAGATGGTCCGGGGTGGCGGTCATAAATGGACTAAATAGTGGCAAAACTATTTTATTAAAAGCCAACGGATCCATCCATATCTTCAAATTTTAGACACTGTAGTATTCCAGGTTTTGTTTTACTTTCACTGCTTACCTCCTCACCATTTTCCAACTGCATCAGCAAATTTCCCCAAGGGTTCTTACTCTGGTTTTCCAGTTCTAAGTGAAATTCCTCACTGAACATACCTGTAAGTCTCTATTTTTATTCTCCTAATTTAATTTACTTAGTTATTTATCTTCTTTCTCCGCATCCCTTTATGTCCATTATTTCATATTATATCCTTTTTCCTTTTCTTTCATATATTATATTACATATTATACTACAACAATTGTTACCATCTATTTACTTCAGTTTAGGATCTTGTTACTTAGCTTACTCTGTTTATATTTTAATGTACTTAGTGTTTATAATTTTAATAAGTTTATTCACATTGTTTATAATTTTTTGTCTAAATATTGTGTAACTTCCACAATTCTCTTTATCTTTTTGTATCTTGTCCATTCTAGCCCTTAAGAAAATCTGCAAAGCCGGGTCGAAACGTTGGCTTTTAATAAAATAGTTTTGCCATTATGGACCATCTCCTTCCTTAATTATAATAGTGTAAATACTAAATACTATAATAGTAATTATACAAAGTACTATAAATATAAGGGATTTTTCCAGTCTCTTATGTTGAAGTGCTGGTCGAACCAGGAGAAAGGCCAAGTAATTACTCGTGGATATTATTTTGAATGCCTCTTGATATTATTATATTTCTCTTATTGAAGTATAACATATTAGGTTATACTTATTACATATTGAAGTATTACATATTGAAGTATAACATATTGAAGTATAACATACTATAAATATACAATAATAAATATAACTTATTTATTTTCTTGTACCTACTTATTAATACTTTGTTGACTAAAAACCCTAACCAATTCCTGGATGAAACAAAATTGTGAGGATTTACAGTTGAGAAGTTTTATTATTTGTTAGTCGACGTTTCGACCACATGTTTGGGTCGAAACATCGACTAACCTAATAGAAATTCTTGACTGTAAATCCTGACAATTTTGTTTCATCCTTATAATTGATCAGTTGACTAATTAGCCATCTCTAACCAATATGTCTTCTACAGTGAACTCTATTATCCACTATCATGTTATTATATTATATTATCCACTATCATGATATTATATTTATTTGAAATTATTGCTTACTTTGTTTAGCCTCCTTCAAGTAAGCTGAGTGATATAAGCCTAGTTAATCAAGCGCTGCACATAGACACCCAGTCGGACCCAGTTCCGTAAGTTGTTGTTTTTTTTTCTCTAACTAGTCAATTTAATGCTAATATACATAAAAAATAAAATAAAAAGCTATTGTGCCATTCAATGCTATTAGAGGTTTCTACAAATTTAATTTATAAATGCATTCATCTGAACAAATTTATTTTGTAATTGCGGGTTGATGGTTGACTGTAGTGAATAATTGAAGAGGAGGATGGTTAGGATGGTCATGTATCTTGGATGGATTGGATGGTTAGGATATCTTGTCACTTATATTTTTATATCACTTATAGATTTTATATCATCCATTCATTTAAATTTTAATAAAAACCAAAATGGAAAAATTTCATTTGTACTGGAAGAAAATAATAGACAAGCAATAATATATTGTTTAATAATGAATTAAACATACAAACAACTATATGAGTATACGATTATTTACTATAATCTTTTATTATGGCATGTTAAAAAATCACGTGTTTGTTTTGATTTCAGTTATCGGGTGCTGTACAATTATCGGCCTCAGAACGAGGATGAGCTGGAGCTGAAAGAAGGGGACATTGTTTACGTAATGGAGAAATGTGACGACGGCTGGTACGTCGGCTCCCTTCACAGGAACGGGCAGTTTGGTACTTTCCCTGGCAACTACGTTGAGAGAATACAGTGAGCCAAGGTAAAAAATCACCTAGATTTTATAAAATTATATTAAAATGGTATTGAAATACATTATTTTTTTTTTAGTTTATTGTTTCTATTGGCTTTACAGACCTTATCGATCTTTTGCCGCCTTAACAAGCCAACACGATCTTTGTGAATCTTGGGCTTTTTTTTGTTATTTGCATGCAGCTCCTCAGCATCTTTGTTGATTTGATCTTTCCATCTTGTTTTTGGCCTTCCTTGTAGTCTCTTGAGCCTTCTACAATTGAGGCTTCATTGTTGTGCATAGGTTTTTTTTATAGGCTGCTCTCAGCTACATGCCTTACCCTTCTTAACCTCCTTGCTTTCATATCATGAGATATCGATTGACCAATTTCTGTAAGCAGTTCTTTTCTTCATGTGTTAATATTCTAATTCCAAATTGCTCTGGTCATTGTGTGGAAGATTTTTTTCTAAAATCTTTTTAAGTGTGGTGATTAGTGTCAATGTCTCACAGCTGTATATCAGAACTGGCTTTGCCAAAGCACTTTAATTTGATATTTCTGTAGATTTACATGTTATTTTATTTATTTATTTTTGTCTACACATCCGCAAACATATTTGTCTGTATTTTAAATTGGCTTGTCATATTTGGCCCAATGTTATTGGAAAGTTAATGAACTAGTATAAAAATGGTTCAATATCAATTTTACCAAATTGAATCCATCGAAACTTTTGCCTATGTATGTGTCAACATATTTTATTTTACACCGTTATGTTTTGATAGCAGCTCACTGATCTGGTTTTACGGTTATTATTGTTGAGATATTTAATTTATTTTTCTCTAGTTCTTAGTAATAAATCTTTTTAAGAATAAATGTTTATATTTTTATTGATTTTCAATAAATAATTTAATATTGGTTTACTGTCTAGATTTCTAGTTTAAAGAAATACATTTTTGTTTTCTTTGTTGATAAATGTTAATGAATGTTTTTATTTATGAATAAATGTATAAATACATATATTATATGTACCATCTACTATGTATTATATCTATGAAATATATCAGAGTATTTGAATAATATTAATACAATATATCACTGTATTTTTTTTATATTTATGTCTTTAATTAATGTTAATATTTATCAACTTTTATGATCTGTTGTAGACATAGATCGCCTGAGAGGCAGGATTACAATGTTCACTGAATGGGCCTAAGGGAAAGGTGACAAGGATGTTTACGGTACAAACGAAAGTAGTTTTGTTTTAGCATCGTGAAGGATCTGTTTAAAAGAGATGTATCTAACGAGACAGAGGAAAGAGTATTATTTATATTTTATTTATATTTATTATCTCACATTGTAATCTATATTTTTATTTACCTGGAATATATTTATTGTATTTCTTTGTCACCAAAAAATAATTATTAATAAAAATTTATGTTAACTATGATTACCAAAATGCTGTTAAAATAAGTAATATTACTTATGAAAATGGATCATGTTGAAAGTTATCAATTTTTAATAGTTTATTTATTTATATGAGATTATTTTTTTCTGTTGTTTATTTTTTTGTACATTTATCACGGAATTAGCTGTTTATTTAGATAATATTTAAAAAAAAACATGTGTTATAACTAATTTATTTTTTTAACTTTATAATTCTATTTACAAAAATTTGTAAGATTACCTATTCTCTAAGATATATTGAGTTAATTTTGACATTAAGTACAACAAGTGTAGTCTGACTTGAGCAATAAATATAACAATAGTGCACTTAATTATTAAGGAATTAACATTTTGAATAATGATTAACAAAACAAGTTGGTTTAAAAAACTTTGTTTTGAAATAATTTTAATTTTCCGTGCACTGTTATAAAGAAAACATCACATGTGTTAACATTTAAAATATTTATTAATTTCTATTATTTAATTTTACCGTAAGTGAACACAATATTTCCTCCCCGATTGAATGGTAACATGGGCGAAATTATTGAAAACAGCTTTATTCGATAAGTGAGCACTTATTGTCTGTTCCTTAATTTTTAAGTTTCAGTTCCTCTATTTGTAATCTAGTGCCTAATATTCTCTTTTCTAGGGAGTTCGCATATTTACCTAAAATAAAACGTAACTGACATAGGGTATTTGTAAATTGTTATTCAGTTGAAGGCGTCGAAAGCTTAAAAATGATGGAATTTTCATACGCGCAGCCTAAGGTTTAGGCACATGATTGCTTGAGACTTCCTACTCCATAATCTGCCTTCCAAATTTCTTTTAAATTTAAAAGTGTTATTTGTATTTGAAAACTAAACTATTTTCTTGTTTTGAGGCCTAACTTTAGGTTTACTTATAGGAAATTAGTATCTAGTCATTGTTAGCCAAAAATAAATAATATGAAAAAATTTTGTTTTTTTATTTATTTCTTCCTTGCTTCCCTAGTTTTTTGTATTTTTAAACCTAAACTATATCAATGAATCAATTAATTACAGCAGAAAATAATATTTTTAGCGGAGGTCTGTTATAAGAGCAATTATTAATAATAATAGTGGACTTATGGTATGTTCTGCGAAAATTAGTGCAATCTAGATAAGCATAAGTATTAATATTTTGATGAACAATTCATACACTAAAATGAATACAGTTATAATCTATTATTTTGTCTTTCTTACTTTATGACAAGGATAACTTTTTTTTTTGGGAGGAATCAAACTATCAGGGTGGTTACAGAATTAGTAAGAAATATTACCTTGTCTACGAGAAAGACTGTGATAAATCAATTCATTAATTTCATTTTATCATAAGATGAATGAAGAAGTAAAACTTTTATATTCGTAACTTTTATCAAATGTTTTATTGCATGTTATTTGACCAAATAAATCAAATAATAATATCAAATAGTAGTTACTATTTATTCAATAATGATGGTTGAATTGCCAACCGTAATGGCACTCAAAAAAGGAGACATTATTATTTGAAATCATTTCACGATTTCAATTCTGTAACTATTAAATTTTAAGTAAGAAAGAAAAACATTGCCAAGATGTGCAGTCAAATATTTCTTTAATAATATTATTATAAATGTTACAGATATATTTTTATATACTTGAAATATACCAGTGTTGATCCAAAACGTCATCAAGTGTCGAGGTAAAGTGCAATAAAATAGTTAGAAATTTTGTATATGCACTAATTTATGGACTAAAAAATGACATAAAAATACTTTAAATGTTAGATAAATTGTTCATCTCAGCTGAATTTTTAGGTTTTATAACAGCACACAATGACCTACGGGAATGGAGCAGTAACCATAAACGTCCATCAATCAATTTTGAAAACGGTAGGCTATTATACTAGCCCAGATACCATAAATATTGTTTACAGTCATACATTAAGTGTTATTACAGATTTCTAATTATATTAGAATAGACTTCAAGAAAAGGGTGTTTTTCTCACAGATTACTGTACACAGCTTTATCCAGATATGCTAATGGAAAAAAAATTAAATATATCATTTATTCTGAAATACTCTTAAGTTTGTTTAACCGGTTTGAAACAGAACGTGCTCATAAAAATCTTTGTTTATATTAAGCCGTTAAACTGAAGAGCGTTTCCGTTGTAAGTATTTTTAGTGACTGGTCCTTTTGTTTTACCACACAAATTTTAGGTATTATTCATTTAAAAAGATTAAATTGGCCATGTACTTATCAACTAGTAATATATAGATAGCAAAAAAACCCTCTTTTACATCTAATAGATTAAATTAGCATTACCCAAGTATTTTTATTTAATTATTTCAATTTTTAAAAGTTAAAAACAGCTTTTGAATCAACATTCAATTACAATATTACTTAAGAGGTATTGGTTGGGGTGTTCATTGAGAAGGAACAATGTAAAAATAAATAAATTATATTTATTTTTGTGAAATTAGAACATTAATTTGATTTGTTACATACATTTTAGGAATAATTCACTTAATCAGGTTAAATTGGAAAAGCACTCATCAACTAGTATTATATAAATAGAGATTTTTAATTATTATAATTATATTGTATTCAGCCGATCCTAAAAATCTTGTGAAAACATCTTGAAAGTATAAATTTCTGATACTTTTTTTATAATACAACTTTTGACCTTAAACTGAAACTAGAGTAATTTTAATAGTTTTTACTTTAAAGAAATTTCATATGAGTTTTCCTTACTATTTGGTATCTTATAATTTCATTAATTAACGAATTCAATGTAGTGATATTTGTTTTTTGCATTTTAGTAATTTAAATTTTATCTCTATATTCATTTAGTTAATAACTAATAAAGCAATGAACAAATAACCAAGTAAATAAATATGAAAAATCATTAATCATTTTAACTCCAGTTAATAAAACAAAAAATAATGATAATAAATGGAAAAACTGGCGATTTTTAATATTCTATTAAAATAATAGTTTACTTAATTGCTTAAAGATAGCAGCACCAATCGAGAAAGCTAAAAAAAAATTAATAGTTCTATTTAGCGCCGATAGAGAGCAGCACCATCCAGACAAGGATTCTGGAGAGAAAACCAGCTCGAAAAATTTTATTTTGTATTAGGACAGTGGGAGGTTAAAGGAGCTCAACTAGTAGGTTAACTCAAGTGCAGGTGCACTTGTAGTTCCAGCGGCTGCCGCGAGGCAGCAGCACCATCGGGCCTCAGCAGAAGCTCCTTCCAGTGAGCTCCTTTGGCCTCCCACTATCCTAATACAAAATAAAATTTTTCGAGCTGGTTTTCTCTCGATAATCCTTGTCTGGATGGTGCTACTCTCTATCGGCGCTAAAAATAACTATTATTTTTTTAAGCTTTCTTGATTGGTGCTGCTATCTTTAGGCAATTAAATTAACTATTATTTTAATAGAACATTAAAAATCTCCAGTTTTTCCATTTATTATCATTATTTTTTGTTTTATTAACTGGAGTTAAAATGATTAACGATTTTTCACATTTATTTATATGTTTCCTTAGTTATTTATACATTGCTTTATTAGTTATGATCTAAAGAGATAAAATTTAAATAAATAAAATGCAAAAAAATAATTTGCCATCATCTAAAATACGTTTAATATGTTAATTAATGAAATCATATGATACCATAGAGTAAGGAAAATTCATATATAATTTCTGATAAGTAAAAAACAATTAAAATGACTAGTTTTCGTTTAAGTTTAAAAGTTTTACTATAAAAAAATATAGAACATTTAGACTTTCAAGGTGTTTAAAAAGATCTTTAGGGTCGATTGAATTCGATATAGAAATATGGTTATTAAGTAACAATTCAAAATAATTCCTTATGGTTATTTATTTTTGTTCATTCTTTTTTTTTTCCTCTTTATTTTTTAATTCACAACTGTCAATGTCCACTGACAGCCAGTGAATGAGATAACTGTACAAATAGACTAGGAGAAAGGGCATGAGGAAGAGAAAAACCCAGTGGTTTATCTTCAGTCATGTTTGAGGCTAATTAAGGAGATCTCTCATCCAACTCCTTTTCAGCCTTCTGCGGATGTTACCAGGCATGTTTTTATTGGCCATGTCTTGGATGAGTTTATTGGGGTGACCATAGAGCTTGTTGTGAAACCTTTTGTAGTAAGTTTGAATATGTTCTGTGACGGTTTGCATGTGTAAGTCTTTATGGAGAGTTATGTTACTAACATACCAAGGTGCTTGAGAAATTGTTCTGAAGGTTTTGGCCTGGAATATTTGTAATTTCTTAATGTGAGTTTTTTTGGCAATTCCGTATATTTGTGATGCATATGTCCAAAGTGGTTTTAGTAAGTAAGTGTAAGTGTTAAGTTTTTGTCTTAGCTTTAGTTTTGAGCGACGTCCCAGTAGGGAATATAATAGTCTAAATCGTTGATTTAGTGTCTTTCGCTTAGCAGTGATGTGTGGGCCCCATGTCATCCTTCTGTCAAATGGCAGGCCTAGGTAATGTACTTTGTCAGATTGGGGAATATGTTCATTGTCAAGATAGACAGGAGGGCAGTTTTCGCGTCGGAGTGAAAATGTTATGTGTTGGGATTTAGTTTTATTTTCTAAAGTTTGTACCAGTCCTGTAAGATTTGTTTGTTCATTCTGATCACAAAATTGCATGTCTGTATAGTGCTGGCCTCTTGAGTCGCTTACCAGAACTATTATTGTTCAAGATTTCTTGATTGGTGCTGACACCTATAGACAGTTACCTTAACTGTTAGTTTTTAAGATCAATGAAATTTATTTTATCTTTTTATTGATAAGAGTTAAATTATTACATTTTTAAATATTGTATTCTCTACACTATCTAGATAAAACATAGATATACAATTCTATTAAAAATCAATGGAGATAAATGAGTTTAAGAAAAAAAAAATTAATAAGTCATCAGAGACAATAATTTATATAAAGTTAACATAAGAAGAATTAAGTTGGGACTTTTTCTTTTCTTTTTATCTTTCAATTCACAACTGTCAATATTCACTGACAACCATTGGATGTAAAGTAGAACATAAAATATCATTAAAAACTATTTAAATTTGTTAGTGGCTTTTAAAAATATTTACTTATCCATTCTCTGATTAGTGTTTATTAAAGCTACACCTATCTTACTATTTTTAACAACTATAATTTATTTAATCGGTTGATCCAGTAAAATTTGTCATGACCTATTATAATATGGTGTATGCATATAGAATTTGTTTGAAAATGGCCACATTGGAAAAGCAGAAATTTAATGTTATTAAATTTCATTATATTCACAGTGGTATTATTTTAATTAATGATTAATTATAAATTTCTTTAATTTAATATACATTAAATAAGTTAAGTAGTTAAATTAAATATAATGTTGGCTGTTCTATATCCACCGTTTTCCATATTGTTACCTACCAAGTTTGACAGAGGGTAAAAATCAAAGAAATCCTCAGTGTGTAAACCAGGATTCACATTGAAGTGTGAACAGACAGTACATGGTGAAGAGAATATTTAGTTCCAGCATATTTTTTTGTACACAATATGCTTCTAATTTTTTTATAATCTACTAATTAAACCAGCTATCTTGCAATATTTATTAATATACTTCTAATTAAAATATAAATAATCTAATTCATATCCTCAAATTACATTCTCAACCATTTAAGGTCGAATTCTTTTTTAAATTCTAAAGTTGTGGTGATTGTGAAGTTAAATTTTATAATTAAAGTATAACAATAATATAGGATATATTTGAGGAATCAATGAAAAAGAGAACTGAATTTGACTTACCTAGTTTTTCATTTGTTTTCTTCCTTTTTGTATTTGAAGGCACATTATAGTTTTATTGATAGAAATTTTTAAAAAACATAGCCTTCGTACTTCAACAATTACTTTATTTTTGACATTACAGACTTAAATTATTTT